GAAACCATGACCAAATACACAGAAGAGCCAGTGACCCTTTGTCATAACTGGCACTTTTTTACTTTATATGTGATAGGATAACCAAACTTCGCTTTATATTTAGGTATGAAGACTTGTAAAGACTTGAGGAGCCATTTTCCCCTCTTTTCCCATACCTGTATTAGCAATATTCGTCATTGTTCTAGTGGACCTAAAGAAAATAGCTGTGTAGTAGATCTGCCTGAGTATCTAACTCTTTGCTGTGTTAGTAGATCACCATAGCATCTGTGGTTTTATAAACTCATTATTGTCTAAAAGTGCTAAACCCTAGATTTCCCTGAGGAGTTTAAATGATTTGGGGTTTGGTAATGAGATACGGGCCATTAGTTCAAATCCTGATCAGGTTAGTAGTGTTGGAAAGCTGTTAGTCTGTGGTGTCATAAGCATGTGTAAAGTGAGGTGGTATTCTCTCTCTCTTTCCCTGTGGAGTTTGTATTGGCCAGACCTCTTGTCCACCAGCTTTCTTGGTCTGTTTTTCAGGCCTGAGAGGGGGTAAGTCTGTTGCATTTTAGCTCTTTTCCTTCCTTCTTTGCAAAACATGAATTACCATCTAAATAAGTAAGAAGACCTTTTTTAAAAAACAAAGCATAACTTATCTCCCTGGTGTAGACTGTGCCTCCCTTTGTATCTGTAAAGCACCTGGTATATCGTGGCTTCACTAGGGGCAAATTGTGCCTGACAAATTTGGCCACCTGGTATGACAGGGTTACAGTGTTTGTGGATAAGGGGCGAGCAACTGACATCATCTGCCTCGACTTGTACAAAGCATTTGACACTATCCTTGCATGACATGCTCTAAGCTGGAGAGTTGTGGATTTGATGAATGGACCACTTAGTGAATAAAGAACTCGCTCGATGGCCACGCTTGAAGAGCTGCAGTCATGTCTTGATGTCTGGGCAGAGACCAGTGATGAGTGTTATCCCTCAGGGGTCCGTGTTGGGACAGGCGCTGTTCCACATCTTTGTTGATGACATGGACAGCAGGATTGAGTGTACCCTCAGAAAGCTTGCTGATGGCACCAAGCTGTGTGATGTGGTCAACATGCTGGAGAGAAAGGATGCCATCCAGAGGGACCTTGACAAGTTGGGAGAAGTGGAGGCCTGTGCAAACCTTCTGAAGGTCAGCAAATGCAAGGTCCTGCATGTGCGTCAGGGCTGTCCCAGGCACAAATACAGGCTGAGTGGAGAATGGCTTGAGAACAGCCCTGAGCTGCAGGACTCTGGGGTTTTGGTTGATGACAAGCTCCACATGACCTGGCAGTATGAGCTTGTAGCCAGTCGTGTGCTGGGCTGCATTACAAGAAGCGTGATCAGCAGGTGAAGGGAGGTGATTCTCCCTCTCTGCTCTGGTGAGACCCCCACCTGGAGTACAGCATTCAGGTTTGGAGCCCCCTATACAAGAAGGACATGGACCCGTTGGAGAGAGGCCAGAGGAGGTCACAAAGATGATCAAAGGGCTGGAGCACATCTCCTGTGAAGAGCCTGAGAGAGCTAGGGTTGTTCAGCCTGGGGAAGAGAAGGCTCTTGGGAGACCTTAGAGCAGCCTTCCAGTACCTAAAGGGGTTCTTCAAGAAGAGGGAAGATCTAGGTTAGGTATTAGGGAGAAATTCTTCACTGTGAGGGAGGTGAGGCCCTGACACAGGTTGCCCATAGAAGCTGTGACTGCCCCATCCCTGGCAATGTTCAAGGCCAGGTCCAGTGGGGCTTTGAGCAGCCTGATCTAGCGGAAGGTGTCTTTGCCCATGGCAGGGGGGTTAGAACTACATGATCCTTAAGGTCCCTTACAACCCAAACCATTCTGTGATTCTGCTGTGACCATCTTAGCTTTGATTCTTGAGGCAAGCTATATTCTTCTGGTGTAAGATACTGTCTTCAGTACTTTAGATACGTTTCCTTTCTCCAGGGTAAACTTCCACACATACGTAAAATGACTGTTGGTTGCAAAGATTTATATGCCACAGGGTATGTAAAATAGTATTTCTTCCGGAACTGGTTGTGTGCTCAGTAGGGTTAAGTTCTCCAGCACGAAGCTTGTCTTAGATGACAGTCAGGTGTTCTTAAAGCACCAAGTAGGGGCCTAATCCTTTATACAGCCTTCTGTAAAGGTGGCTTTTTCACACATGCCTGTTTTGCTTTGACCTTTTAGGCTTTTGAACAGTCTGTCCAATCCTTTCCACACTGTGTGAGAGAATAGCATGCCTGTGTTCTCCAGGAGAAATTACTGTTTTGTTAGTAACCACAACCAACTTGCTCAGATTCTACATTTAGCTCATAGACTGGAAGTGTCAGATTGTTGTCATAGGCAGCTTATCAGAGCGGTTCAGTGGTCTCTTGGATTCCCTCCAGAAAAAGAGAAAATGGTCTCCAAGAAAACAAATTTGTAAACAAAGTTCCCGATACCCTAGAGTGACAACACTATATATTTTTATTTAGGCTGGGTGCCTATAGGACTCTTTGTAGAGGACACATCCATGACTTTCTCAGAGAAGATAATGCAAAAGGATTTAGAATACAGGATGTAAGAATAGACAGCATAGTTATAATGGGCCTTAAATAGATAAATCTGTGAAAGAGTAGTGTAAATTAAAATTAATTAATATAATTACAGTTTTAAATGCAACTGTATTTTAAGACTATTTTGAGTAGCAGATTTTGAATTTTAACTACTTTATTATTTTTGAGCACAGTCTTAACTGTCAGCCGTGTTCTCAAAGCTGTGAACGCTTCAGATTTAAAGGAGCTGTATGGTTATTTTATTTTTAATGGAATCTCAGGTAGATGTTATGTGGATCAGAAATTAGTTGACTAAATAGTTTATTATTTACTCTACAGAGATAATCATTGTGGTGTCTAGATGCTGAAAGAATGACTTCCTGGTATATGTTAAGTGTGAATGGCAGATAGTCTAAACCCTTATGCTTCAGATTGATTGGAATGCTCAGAGCAATTTTTCTGTCCTTTAGTTAGTTAAAGCAACAGCTGTATAGATCATTATATGTTTATCTTTTTCTAAACCTAAGTTGCTGAAGCTTGTAAGTGTTGCTCCACATGAAGAAAGCGGAAGAGACATTTTCTGAAGTCTTGGGGTAAATCATCCTTCTCTGGTCTCTCTTCCTGGTGTGTTTCTCAGCTCCATGGCTGTGTTGTGCACTGTGGAAATACCAATATGAGTTGGTGTCTGAGGCAGTTCTTCAATTCTGGAGTTGTATTGATTCAAATAAACATGCTTGAAGGTGTAGCATAGAGGTATGGGTGACGTTTGTAGGTAAGCTGGAACTTTGCGTTCCTTCAAGACGTTAGAAATATTCAGTGCCAGTCTTTGAAAGAGACTGGGAAAAAAATAACTGTTTATAGAGTGGCACATTCAAGCCTGGTTTTCGTAGTGAGAGGAGGGAGACTTATCAGGCTCTACGTGATCTGTGCCAGGTTTTAAATGAGCAACAACTGTTCAACACTTATTAGCCCTTCAGCTTCTTTTTCTGGAAGAGAATAACGTGTATTAACCTGATGCAGGTAGGTGAATATCGGAGATCAGCTACGATTTCTGTCAGACTTGCCCTCTGCTGCTTGTTTGAGTGCACTGAACTGGAAAGAGCCTAACTGGTACAGTGGGTGGCTGGTGCAGTATGATGGACAGGTTTGTGTTTGGTCTGAGAGAGGGGCCTGCTAGGGCTTGGAGGTACAGTACATGTGCTTGCCTGGCAGAGCACTGAAGAGAGGTAGGCTGGGCAGGAGAGAATTCCATGGTTTACTGCACTGAATATATTTCAGATGTGGCACTATCAGGTGGTATCCTGTCAAAGCAATTGTTTTTTTAACAATTCTCAATACATAATTATGTGCATGTATGTGCCTAAGGTGACTTTTTTTTATTTTCTGGATGTAAGGATTTATATTTATCTATTTATTTACTTAATTTATTTTCAAGTTGTCTATGGTTTAGTTCATGTTCTTTGAGGAATATAGTGTGAACTTTTCTGTACTTGTGTTCATGCTCCAATAGCACAAACGTGTTCACAATAGAAGGAAGGTCACAGTGCTTCTGAAAGGCTCAATCTTTGTTATGCACCATCCACTCAACACAATACATGTTAGAGAGGCCTTAAAAAATGGATCCAACACCAATGAGCCAGATGACTGAAAGTCCTTCTGAGAGTCTGAATATATAAGAGAGATCTAGGAGTAGTGTTAAAATGGACCAAGACCCCAGTAACAGTCGGCATCAACACCCAGCTTTAGGAGAGCAGAAAGTGACAAGACTCCTGCCAGGTTATGTCAGCATTTTTGATCAGTACGAGGAATATATATTTTTGTATTTCCTTTCAGTACCCTTGTCTCCAAGCACTCTAATTGCATGAATAGAGAGAATTCCTGATAGGCACTGAAGAATTTTCGCAAAACACTTGGGGATTTTCATGTTAGCCAGTTTTGAGCTGTAAGATCACTTGAGATCTGTTTTTCTCAGACAAGACTCTGATCAACAGCAAGACTCTGATCAAGTTGTGGCTGAATCCCTGGACTATGAACTCTGCCATGCTTCTGGTTTGGAATGTTGTTCTTGCAATCAAATGTCCCAAAAAAGTTTTGTTTCAAATGGCTGTGCTTGATTATTTCTGTGCTTTACAAATTTCTGTACCTAAAATCTCTGTGGATCAGGCACTTAAATGGAATTTTTCAAGACTAACTTGTAGACCTCCAATTCGGACACTTGCTAATCTGTAGTTTTGAAGTGACCCATTCCAGTGACTTTCTATAGGCTATGATAGGGTGTGGAATTTTTAGAAGATGACTAATGTAAACACCGTAATGTGCTATGAAAGCTGTATTTTAAGTGCTTGCCTGATAACAGAAAGAGTCTGCCATTTTTTAAAATTTATTTATTTATTTATTCCTGCTTGCTAGGTCCTTTCTGTCCTACTCTGTTCCTTCTGTGCTGTAACTATTTTTGTCATTTGTTTTAGGATTCAGAAGGAGGTCTCTATGTGTGCATGAACACATTTCTGGGATTTGGAAGGGAACACATTGAGAGGCATTACCGGAAAACAGGACAGCGTGTATATTTGCATCTGAAACGACGTGTGATAGAGGTGAGACCTGTGGCTTCCCAACTAACTACCCCAGTATTTCTTGGGTCTCATTTAGGTAACGCATTGCAGACATAGACCAAATCTTGAATGACAGAGATGAACATGGTAAGATTTGAGGCTTGGATGTCAAATTCAGGTGCTTAGATCCCTGTCAATCCCATAACTTCAGTTCTGCAGTGAATCAAAGACCCTAAAGAATCAGAACTTCAAGGCAGCCTGTTGCCTGGCTTCCACTGATCTTTTTCACTACATGCTTCTGCTTATCCAATGCATATTTTCTGCATATTATGTGCATACTGTAGTTAACCAAATACTTTTCTGAAGCTTTGGTAGAACTATTTGGTTTTTTCTTTTCTTTTTGTTTTAATATGAGGTATTATCTCAAGGTAGTGGGACTTTTCATCCGAAGATTTCTGTATAATTAAACCACAAGCCTTAATCCTGACCTGGGATCTAAATCTTAGCTTAAATGAATGCTAGAATCTGCAACCATACGCTGCCCTCATTGAGTCTTAACACCCACACACATATGGATGTGTACATACAAACTTCACGTTCAGTGTTCTTCCATAATATCACTGCATATCTACAGTAATTTGTAACCTGTTCTTCATAGCCTCTGTTTGTGTGTGGCTGGTCTGGTATCTCTAAAGGGCTGTTAATGACTTCTGATCGGAGCTGTATGGATGGCACTGGGTGTGCTTACAGCTCACCCTCCCATAAGCTCTGTCCCCTTTGGCAAGATAGAGGGCCTAAAATAGCTGCTTGGAATGGGATAGAATACTTCATGTTTTTCATTCTATAGCAATGTTTCCCATGGGTGATGAAGGCCCTGAGATATGTAGAGTGCCCTGACCACTTATTTTATTTCCAGTAGATGGCTATTCATATTTTATCTGAATTACAGTGAGGTGGATTGCATGGCTCCAGTTTGGGGTTCTTAATGGTGTTTGTTACACTTTAAAATTGTTTTTCCTTGCAAGATTGATAGCAATATTTTCCTTCACACTCTTAACTGAGTTTTTGGAGGGCCTCATCTAGTTTTAGCAACAGTTCTTACAAGTGAATTTAACACTCCTGAAAGATGATATCTAGGACTAGAGACAGGTGGGCAGAAATCCTGTCACCTTTCCTTGTATGTGACTTTTTTCCCAGCATATGACCTGGGATTTTTTCAATAGTAAGCTAAACTGGGATTAAAATAAGGCCTCAGAAATTCCTTTTCTGGATAAAGATTAAGCTGCTGAACTCCAAAAGGGAACAAATATATCGACTGCTGTTTGATGCTTTTCAGCTGATCTAGTTCAGTGGTTCCTGTTTTTTTCCCTGTGAATCATAATGTAGCAGAGGGGCCTGGTATCTGTGTTTGAAGCTGGTGACACACTGGTGCACTGGGGCATGTGGTAGGAAAGAGCGTTTGACTCTATAGTACAGGTGAAGATTGTGTCATCTGGCATAGCTCATAGATAAGATTTCTAATAGATTAGCTGTGTAAAGCCAAAACATTGAATGTGCTATCTTAGGACTCTTTTACTGAGTCTGCTATTCTTGCTTGTGCTTCCCTTGGCGTCCTGCTTGCAGAATGCACTGCGTTGCTGCAGAAATTCCTGCTTGCTTCCAGAGGTGTTTGGAATAAGTATTGAGTCATGTATCTTGTCACAAATCAGTTAGAAAATAATGGTCAGATCTTCAGCCTATTGGCTTAAGTGGATCTGCAATATCTGCCAATAGCAGATCAGGACCAGAAGCATCTGCTGAATCGTCAGAAATGTGCACAAGTGCAAGTTACAAAGCATGCTCTGGTAAATTTCTTAGATAATTAAAAAATAGAGTTTATATATATATATATATATATATATATATATATATATATATATATTTCTTTTCACAGAGTTTCACTCTTCGGAATTTTTAAATCAGCCACTTTGCTGTAGTATATGATGTGTATACAACTGCCTGGGTAGTATTCAGCCACAGGCAGACCTTTAGCTTGATGCTATAGTAATACCTCAGCCCTATTGAAAACACCAAGTAGAGAAGCATGAAATTTCCTACAGTAATGGGTTATTATATTATTCAGTGATTGTGCTGTAAAAAAATGTGGCAATGGTGCAGTTAAAGAGAATAGGCTACACTGACCCCTTGTATGAGGAACATCACTAACAGAATTCAATCCCACTGCTGGTGGATTGTGTGTGGACTCCTATTTGCTGTGTGTGTCACATCTGTTAGAAGCCAAAATAGTTTTGTGAATAGGGAATGTTTTCAGTGTCTCCTGACAGGTGGAGAAACAATGTAAAAAACCCTGTCAGTTTCTCTTTTTTTTTCAGGACTGTTGAGCATCTGCAATTCCAGTTCAAATGTTTTCAGCAGTTTGGAAAATCAGGCTGAAATATTTAATGTCAGGCTGGCAGATAAACACTCCATGAAAATTATTCCTCTTTGAAATCTCTAGTCTTAATGACTCACAATATCCCACTTGGGGGCATAAGAATTCAGTTGGAGCTTCCTACTATTGGTAACATTTTTTTAGTTCTGAAGCTATAATCTTTGGATTTATTTATTTATTTATTCGTACTTTATTTATATTTATTCATAAGTGATTTATTTATACTCAAATATACATTCATAGTATATTTGTAATTGGATTATTATGGAATCTTAGAATGGTTTGGGTTGGAAAGGACTTTAAGAACATCTAGTTCCAAGCGACAGGGACGCCTCACATTAGACCACATTGCCCAAGGCTCTGTCCAGCCTTCCCTGGAACGCTGCCAGGGATGGAGCATTGACCACTTCTTTGGGCAGCCTGTTCCAGTGCCTCACCAACTTCACAGTAAAGAACTTCTTCCTTATATCTAACCTGAACTTCTCTTATTGAAGTTTAATATGTTGTATCTTGCTGCTGCTTTTTAAAAATAGATTTGGATTATTGGCAACTTCCTTTCCACTGCTTAAATTCCAGTAGTATTAAGGGGGGGGGGAAGTTCTGCTTATTATTTTCACTTCTTTGAGGACTTTTTTTTTTTTTTTCCTAAATGTTGGAGTTGTGACCCCAACTCCACTTTGCTAGGAGTTGTATATATGCATAATAGGTTCCATTCTTAAGTGCAGCCAATGAGTGTTAGTTGACATCTGCTCTTTCTAAGAATGGAAAACTTTCCTATGATGTATAAGACTTCACTGATGATTTAAGCAGTAGCTTTGGCCAAAGCTTTATTTACATGGTGAAGGGTACCACCCAAAATATGTGACCCTTTCACTTACGAAGGAGCAGAGGTACACATGAACTTTCCCTAGGCTGACAAGTTCTTGGCTGGTTTCTCTCCACCTGTTGTATCCCAATATTACTATCAAAAAAGAAAAAAAGTTACTCAACAACCTCACCGTTTATATTGACATTATATACTACATAATACATCATGTTGGCATTATAGCCACAGAGGCTTATTTATCTTGATTTGATTTAATGATGGCTGTTAATAAGCAGCTTAAGAAGCAAGTGCATTGACTTTCACATTTCCTTGGCTTCTAGTGTTTTCCCTATTATGCGGTATTTTGAACTGGGGAAGTAGTTTTTGAAATGGAATGTCACTTGGAAGTTACTATTCTCAGCTGTGGAACTTACTTAAATTATAAAATAAAAATAAAATTAAAAATAATTCCTAAAACAATTGCTTGGGTGTTGTCAGGTTTTCCTCCATACTTTCTAATATTAAGAAAGCATGGTGGTAGCTTGGATTGATCTTAATCGAAGCAGGCATAGATCCTATTGGAAAGGGCATTTTTTTCTGGATAGAAGAAAATTAGCTAAACTAATAGAGCACAGCAAAGTGTTCATACTGGAATTAGTTATGAAGGATTGAATCTTTTATGTGCATAATAGCCTTTTCTTCCCCTCTCTAATTCAGCTTTAGCATAAAGAAATACTATAAGGGATCATGGGGTGATAGGTCTGAGTGATGGTAGATGCTTCTGTTTGTGGACAGAGCAGCAGTCACCCATGATGACCATGAGTCATGCTCTGTTTAATTATGAACAGAGCGAAGTATGAAAGATTCAGATGGTGGCTTTCTCACTCTGTGAGGGTAGTAAGCAATGATGAGTTGAGTCTTCTTGTCAGAGGTGAATGAAGAGGATTTACATTCTTGCTCAGCAAGGACTGCAGTTTAATAGTAGGACGATGAACAGATGGATGTGTGTTAGAAGTGGTGATGGTATGAGATTATTGCTGGTTTACTCTTGTCTCAATTGACAGATTTTTTTCAAACTGTTTCTTTCTCTCTTTCCAGAAGGTACCAGGGGCATCTGGTGGAGCTTTACCAAAAAGGAGGAATGCTAAGCTATTTTTAGGTATTGTTAACGACTGTTTTCACACAGTCCTTTTCTGACCCTGTCTGCATGTGAACTTGAGTTTTGTCCACCATATTGTCTGGCTTTGGAGCTCCTTGTGGCTTTTCTTTTTGGTTGGTTGCTATTTTGGGGGTTTCGGGGGGGGGGGGGGAAAGGGGGGTTGGGGAAGACAATTGGATTGGTTGGTTGGATGATTTTTGTTTGGTTTTGATTGTATTGGGTTGTTGTGGTTTTTCTTTTGAAAAAGTAGGCCCTCAGTTATTCTCACAACAGCTTAGGGTTTGATAGGTATTTTTTGACTAATTCCCCCTCTTTGTGATTTTGACAAAGCACCCTTTTATTAAAATGTTTAGTTAGATTGAATGTTTGGATGTAACAGGGCCTCAGTGTGGCATTGCTCTGCTAAGCAACTGGTCATAGGAAGGTTTATTATCCTTTCAAAGTTAGATAAATGGTCTCTCCTGTAATTAATGCAACAGTACATATATCATGAGCATCTCTTTACCAATTGTTTTCCTGTTTTGTCCACAGTTATATCACCTGATTCATCTATTATTTATTCTCTCTGTATTAATAGCAAATAGTGATATTTTTTTAATTTTTTTTCCTGGTACTGAAGGGGTTAATTTTTTTTTTTTTTTTTTTACAGTTATTGGCTCTTATGGCTAAAGGGAAACAATAGCATGACCTCCCTTTGGAATTACTTTGATCTGTGGAATGTGTCTTTAAGAGGACTTTGCAGATTGTGTTCAATTAAATTGTTGTTGTTGATGTTTGGAGTAAGATTTCAAAGGAGGGCTTAGAGAGAAAAGAAAAATAAATTTAAAGATGAGTCATAAAGAAATGAAAATTCTTTTGTAGGAGTTAAGTCAGTTAAGGAGTTAATTTGCAGATGCTGTTCTAAATGCCATTTACTGGGTGCTTATAAAATAATAGGTTCAGCAACAAAGCTGGTTGCGGTGCAGCAAAGGTTGTACAGTGTTAGCAATGTGAGTGTAAATAAGTACAAAAGCATGGTCTAATTTTATACTTGCTGATCTACTGCCTGCATTTTGAGGCTCCTGTCACTGTGGTACTCTGGCACACAGTGTATGTAGCATATTTCCTCTGCTGCACCATGTTGGAGTCTTCAAATTCCATCCTTGCACATGAGCATTTTGTTCCCACTGACTAAATCTAGTGCAGCAGTTCCAAGCGTCCCAGGAGACTTATGAAGGTGGTGTAGTTCCACTGGGGTGGATTTAACACATGGAACTATCACCATTTAATCCAGCATTCTGGTATCTAATGTACTTTTGAAAATGTATCTCATCTGGTCTGTTCTGCTGCACTCTTCTTTGCAGCCCCTGCTGGCTGGGAGTAAAATGGTATCAATTCTAATCCTTCCTATGCATCCAAATGCATTGTATTCAGTTCTTTGGCTCAGCCGATTTTATTATTTTTTGGTCATACTTAAAGAAAAGAACAAATAATTATTCCTGTCCTTGTTCATAGCTGAGGAAATCAAAGCACAGAGAGGCCAGCTGATTGCATGTGACAGCAGTAGAGATTGTTAGCCAAATTTGGCATTTTATCTCTTAATCCAGCATCTTCCTCATTGGTTCACTGATGCTGGACTTCTGATGTTACCAGGCCATTTTAATTCTGTCTTTCTCATTGTGGTGACCTTAGGCACTTAGGGTAGAGGTTTGCATAAAGCTGGCTATTATCAGCCCGTATATGCAGTCTGCAATGCAGGGCTTACCCTGTCAAACAGGAATAGATAATTATCGATGGATAGCTCTAACATCATGGTGTTTCTAGGTGTCTTTGAAGAATTCTCTGAAGACCCAGAGGTTTAAGCTTTGTGTACAAACTGGTCCAGTTTGGGCATTTGTTACATTATTTCTTATAATCCTCTTCGATGTAAAGCTATTAAAGATACTAAACCCTTCTCAATCTCCACAGTATTAGGACAACATCTTTTGGATACTTACTGATTACTTTCTAGCACTGCTGGTATCCAGTAAATGCAATGGAAACACAGACTTGTTGGGTCAGGCAGCTGGAAGCTTAAAAGATCTGTGACAAAGTGTGTGTGCATAATAATAAATTTGGGTTTTGAGCTTACTCTGTTTTGTTTTTCTTCTGGAGAATGCTGGAGGGTGTTGTCTGTGAGTATTCTATGTAATCAGGAAGATTAATAAAACATTGTGCATTGAAATGGATGAGCTGCCTTTAGGTTATTTAGGTGTTGCTAGGCAGTGTAGATATGGTTACTTCAGCTCAGATGTGCAAGCTTCAGGGGATTTGGGGTGATATTTAGGGCAGACTGCGTCATGATGCATGGGATAGTATCCTTACTGCATTGTTAGCTAGGCTAGCAAGACTGAAGATACTTTGTGCTTGTCAATATGTGTGGCTTTCCCACAAAGAGGTCTTAGATCCAGTCTGTAAAATTAATTGATTGGACAAGATGGTAGCTCCCCATGACTTCACAAGGATCTCAGATAAGAACCAGCTGCACTGTTGTCTTTGGTATGCACACTCTTGTTTAAATCAGCTACAGTGTGGTAAATGTGATACCAGGTATAGGGGGAAAACTAAAAAAAAAAAAGAAAAAAAGACATGATGGGACAAGGAAAAGTACCATCACTAAATTTGATTTTCGTATTTGCACGTCTGGAAGGAAACAAATGGATGAGAACTGAGGGAAAGTTGTATAAATATGCTGTAACAGGTAAGAACCATTATGGGTTTTCCAAAGTGAAGCAATGGTTCTGGGCCTAAGAATATTCTGTGACTGTGTGTAGTAGTCTCCCTATGTATTCAGTGCTTATGTGAATAAGAGCAGTTTGGTTAACAGGAGGTACTGTGATCTTCCTTATGAGACCCTGGTCAAAAGGGGTAGTAGAATAAGGGGGAAGATCCTAGTTTTATAAAGATTGGAGGCCCAGTTCTTACAGTAGAGTTATCCGCAGAGTCCTTCATAATGTTCTGATGAATTAATGCGATCATAAATGGTTTGGGAAGATATTGGAAAATGAGGAAATAGAGTTTGGTGGTTGATATGTAATCTTAAAGTGATTCTTAAATGTGCTAGTAACTAAACTATAGATGAAGTAAATGTTGGAAAATGCAAAGAAGATGAGTGCTTTAACTGTGTATAGATAGTGATGTCTAGCTATAGCCGTTCAGAAAGGTAGTTCTGAGAGAGATGGTGTGAATGGTTCTCTGAAAATGTCAGCTCAGTTGTCAGCATCAGGGAGAGTTAAGTGAAACATCAGGAGTAGAGCAGCATTTTATATTTTGTTCTCTATGATTTTGCTTTATAAATAAGAAGTGAACCTCTCTTTTCGGATAGAGAAACCACAGCTGCAAGCAGTATCTCCCTTGTCTCTCAAAACCAACCAGGCAAGCACACTCCTCACTCCCCTAGCAAACAAAACTCCCCAGATAGTTACCTGGAAGGGAGGAGGTATATCTTGCAGGAGGAATCACTGCATTTTTGCCCTGTTCTGGTATCCTCTTCTAGGCACCTGTTGGTCCCTGCCAAAGTCTGGACTCTAGGCTAAACAAAGCTGACAGAGGAGCTGTTGTAAAACTTGTCCATAGACATCCTCTTCCAGATCAGTTACCACACCAGGATCTGCTAGTGCAGCAAGTTATGTGCGCTCTGTTCAGAGCAATGTCAGAGCTAACTCAGACCATCAATTAAAAGTGTTTTGAAGTTCTCAAATGAACAGCTCTGTCAGCAGATCTGTGAGGATGGTAATTGCTTGTGAGAGGAGTCTCAGTGAGGAGCTGTATCCATGACACACAGCTGGTCTCAGAGAAGGCCTTGGAAAGGAAGGCAAAACTTCCACTTAGAGTTTCTGGGGAGCATATAAACTTGTTGGGCTTTTCCTGGGTGGCATCTGCCTGCCTGTGGCAGTGAATGTAGTTATGACTACTGTTTCTAACTGTAAAGGCCATTCATAAGAGTGGCCATGCTGCCTTTCACCACAGCTTCACTTAATTTTCCTAGACCTCATAGCAGGGAGTAGCAGAACCCTATTTTCAGCATGGGTGCTTTTGTTTGGTAAGCTTTTGAAGAGGACTTTTTACTACTAGTGGTTTAAGTTTATATTTATTTAAGTAAGTACTGAAAGAGTATGCATCTATGAGTGGAAAGCTTGATTTAGGAGGATTTGAGTGTGTTCTGGCAATATTTTTAAATTTTAGTGCAGTAAAGTTGTGCAAACTCACGAGCAGTATCAGTGGAACTGATTAGACCATAGCAAGCAATTTTAATGTTATTTTACAGGTAGCGAATTATCTAAATGATCTTAGTGCAAAGTTTTGCTTTTCCTTTTACCACAAAGGAGTCTGTCATTACTAAAGAGGTTTTTGTTTGTTTGTTTGGTTCTTTTTTTTTTTTAATAGCTCATCTGGTGAGGTCAGTGTTTCACATATGCCTGAAGACAAATGAATTGAATAGCCTTTAATTTGGAAAGTGCTGTTGCTGCAATTCATTATTATTTAGAGGCTTCAGGAAGAAATATTTTGATTTAAAGACTCAGTCCTCCACTTCCAAGTCAATACAAATTTGTCTATTGCTTTTCAGTGAGAGAGCAGGGTCAAGCCCAGGTTCCTAAGATGTCTTTCTAGGGTTTCAAAATTAGTTGTAGGCTTATGTAGTTAACATTCTCATTCAGTTTTTGTGTTTGTGTTCCCGTTCATATGACCCAGATACATCCATATGCACAGGAAATCCTGTTTAGGGGTCCTGGCTGGAGTCTCCTTATGCCACTATTATTAGTGCAGTCTGTTGGTAACCTGTCTAAATTTGATCTGAGCACCTCCACTCCTTCCCCTCCAGTGTGTTGGTTTACAGTACTGTCTTCCACTTCCAGCTGCTGTTTTCAGTCAGTTCAGCAGCAGTGAATTTCTCACCGTCACTGAAGTGATGCCTGTGAGCTGCAGTAAATTTACTCTACTGACTACTTGCCCAAAATGATGTCAGTCAAGCCTCTGTTGTAATGTTTGTTATTTTGCTTTGCCTGTTGTCCTGGCCTCCCAATACCACACTTATGACCTATGGACACTGTTTTAGTGACCACAGAGTTTAACTGGGGCCCTGAGGAGACACCGTAAAGATGTTAGTCCACGATGTCATACGGGCATTCCCCATCAAGTTGTCAGCTCTTTAAAAAGATTAGGCTGGTTGGTTGTCTTGTGCCTCAGTCTTGGAACTGAGTAAAGCCTTTTTTTTTTTTTTTTTCCCCTCAGAAGTTCTTGTCTGCAGTATAGTGCTTGAAGGTTCATATTTTTCAGTGCCTTTAGTACTACAGTAATTTTTAGTCAAATAATGCTGCATTTGGCAGTCCGTTTCCCCCTGCTTCCTCTCTGAAATTCTGCTCAAGTATTAAAATCGAAGTTCAAAGCTGCCTACAGACTGCACATGGTGCCTGCTGGCTACAGGGTCAACCTCTGCCCTCATTTAGTGTGGCTCTGTTGCCTTCTAAAGTAATAATTGTCTGTTTCTATTATATCTATGCTCATGCTTTCTTAGCCGTGTTGGCTCTTGCACAGGCATGGAAAATACAGTGCAGGTAGAACTTCTTACTGAACTTTGCAACTATGGCTCTCAGCACATACAAGCCAAGGTATAAAAGGATGAAAATTGATTTGAGCGTTTTCTGCTGGACATCATTAAGGGGCCTGACACTCAGCAGAAGGGATAAGTTTATATGGTCATATGCTGTAGCAAGGGATTTCAGTCAGTGACCTTAGAAGTCCTCTTCACTCTTATGTACTGGATCTGAATCCTGAGAAACTGTCTTCAGAATGATAATTTCCAGAAAGTACTGGCAGTACTTAATTCCTGTTCAGGAGGAGTAAGTGTGGAGTAGAAGTCTACCAGCTTTACATGGTCACCTTCAAGTGATTTGAATAGCCAGTTAAATCCTCATTTTTTTTTCCTGTTATGAAGTTGCATGTATCTTTCTTTAAAATAGGAAGTATGATGCTGCCATATCAGTGTCGGATATCCAGAATGCTGTGCTGACAGGACATGGTTTTCTGCTTTTCTGGTAATGTGAATGGTATGAGACCCATGAAGGTAAAAAGGATCTTTCCTTCCCTACCCACTGGACACAAAAGGCTGATGCTTCTAAGTGTGTGATGTCCTTAGGTGGCAGTGGGTGATTGCTAATAGGGTATTCAGTCTTTTATCCCTGGATCACTAGCTCAGATTTAGGTCTGGTTAGCAGCAGTAAAGTTACTACTAGCTGGCTGTTGTCTGGCTTGTGAGGTGAGGTGGAGTGTGTCTGAATTTTGAATCCAGGGAACTGTATCACTGCTGTTTCTATACAGCGGATTTTAAATACCATAAGCTTAATGTCAGTGTCATAAGGAAATGAAAATACCAGCCCATCTCACACATGGCCACAGTAACAGCAGTTGACGTGAGCTGTCCTTAGGTTCCCTCTGGTGGCTGAGCGAGGTGTGTGACTGCAGGCCCTGGAAGAGGCGTTTGCTGTCTTCAAAGCCGGTATTTTCATGGTTTCTGAGGAGCCTCTGTCATATTTAGGAGATGGTCAGTGCTTCTGGTTTGGCTATCCTGGTCACCATCAAATTTCAGGGCATTAAATTTCTGATCCGTTGCTTGTGTCAGCTTGGAGATACTGAATTTCTTAGCTTCAGAGAGTGAAAAAGCTTACTGTTACAGACTATGTCTGTTGAGATTCACTCTATTAAAACACAGGATTGTAATACAAGATGGGAAAGAAGCCCAGAGTGAAGTGAGGTCATTGTTTATCTCTTACACTGCAGTAACGGAAGGGATCCTTCTGAAAATAATGTGATTTGGGGAATTAGTAACAAATTAATATTTTCTTTATAAATGTCATTCAGTATAAGAAGAAGTCCTTGCTTTTGTGTCTATATTCAACTGATAAGAAGGGGCTTTTGTTTGTTACTGCTGAGAAAGAGGTCATGCTGCTGGAAGTTGCTGACAGTGGGGGTTGCCACCCCTCAGAACTGGCTGGTGAGCAGGTGAGCCAAGAATTGAATGGAAACTGGATTATGCTGTTGTCAGGAACTGATCTTTCCAGGTCAAGTTAACATATCTTTTGATACTTGTTTTATCACTTAGGATATCAGGCTGTTACTGCCCACTGGGTAAACAGTTTAGTTTTCTGAATCTGGCTTCTTCCATTCTCACCTCTCTGCCAGATATACATTTGAGATTTCAGTCATTCCCTGGGTGCAGTGATTGCTGCCAGTGCTTGTTTAGTATTGAGTGATCCATTAAGCATATGCATGTACTTAGAGTGAAAATAAGAGCCAGCTTTAGCTACTGATAACGTATCTTCTTTCTTGGTTGATCCTTATTCTGTTAGTGACTGTCTGGTACACTGGAATACAGTCGATCCAGCATCTCAGATGGGAGAAAAATCCAGAAAATTCCATCCTTGCCTAGGCTACTCTTGCAGTTGAATCTTGTGAAATGTCAGACAGCTTGCTCATGTTTGGTCTTAACTTTTTCAGTTGTCCTCTAAAGAGCTGAGCAAGATTTGAACTCAGTCTTGTCACTAGGGGTTAATTATGTTTTTGATGAAGCTAAAGATAAAAGTACTAGTGATTTAGCTACTTCTATACCCTCCTGGCTTCTCTCTGGGTCCGCTTATTTCTGGATGAGTGTTTTAGCTGAAGACACATTTTTAAGCAAAAAAAGTCATCCTTACACTGGAATAAGAGGATACACAAACACTATGGAAGACTTTATCTTCAAAGGAAAGCTTTATTAGTAAGTGTTTTCTAAACAGTTATGCTGGTTACAGAGTGGAGTTTGCAATAGAGGGATAATGCTGTTATAACTGAACTTGCTATAGCTATTTGAGAGTATGAATGAGATGTGTGAATACTTCCAGCCTTGGACATCTTCTTGGGCAGAAAGGCCAGAAGTTCTTGATGGATGAGAGTCATAGCATGTTTCAGCCAGTCCTGTCATCGGGAAAATATGGGGGGGCTGAAACAAAGGTGCATTATTCCTGCTCTGCAATTTGGACATGGGTAGTGTGACCTGGTCTCTATATTGTATAGCATTTCAAGATCCTGGGTGAAAGATACGAACAGTGTTACATCCTGTTTTTGTCCAAAATGAGCAGTATTTTATTAGCTGCTTCCCAGAATGTGATGTCTGCAACAGAGCACTGCTTGGAGAGAGGCCAAATCAACTGTGACTGGGGATGAGATTAAGATGGAAATCTTTGCCCTCAGAGCGTTCTCTTGCAAGATGGTTAGATTTCAGTTTACATCAGGATTTCACAAACATTTATAGCCAGAGAAACTACTTACTGACAGTATCAACTTGCTGGCTGATGCCAGGCGAGCAATGCTTCATAATGGTACCCATGCCACAATTTAAGAACCTTGATCTCGGGACAATCTCCTAACATTTCCCATCTTGTTTTCCAGATCTAGAAATAAGCAGTGATCTGAACAGTGATGACTTTGAATATGAAGATGAAGCAAAACTCGTTTTATTTCCTGATCACTATGAAATCCCATTACCTAATATAGAAGAGCTACCAGCACTGGTCAGTGAGTGTGTGGAAGTTGTGATAGGAATTGTCTTCTCCTTCAGTTTTTATCAAGATGGTGCTTTGTTTTCTCATGTGTGGTGCTTGGTTTTGCATAAAGATCTTTTTTAATCAGCTGTAATAGTAATTTTTAAAACTCTGATTTGCCTTTGTTTCTTGCATTTCATTTTTGCCTCCTGTATTCCTTTGCTTAGTATGATGCCAGATTGTCCCAGGGAAACTCACGTAATACGTGTGTCTACTTTTCTGCTAAAATAAAACTGCAGTCCAGAAGATTACATGCATATTTAAGTATATAAATAGTGTTACTGATATCCAGTTCTGTAAGTGGTTGGCAGTGGGCTGAATGCCAAGTTCTGTCTAGTCACTGAATCATGTTAGGTTTTGATTGACATACATTTGTCTTCCAGGTGACGATAGCTTGTGATGCACTCCTCAGCGCAAAATCACCCTACAGGAAGCAGGACCCTGACTCCTGGGAAGAAGAACTGCAGGCATCTAAACATGCCAAAACACTTGTACAGTTAGACAATGGTGTTAGAATTCCCCCCAGGTAAGGGTATATAAGGTTGATTTGTTGTAGGTTCTCTAATAATGTCCAGAGCAACAGAATTAAAGCCAGCAACTCAGCCAACAGTTCTGTGTGACTCCAGTCTGGGTGTGTATGCTTGGTTTGATCTACCATAACTGGAAATACAGGACTACTTCCTGACTTATTTCTGTAATTTCTTCCTGTTTTCTCTTGCAGTGGTTGGAAATGCTCAAAATGTGACCTGCGGGAGAATCTGTGGCTAAACTTGACAGATGGTTCTGTGCTTTGTGGAAGGTGGTTCTTTGATGGCAGTGGGGGAAATGGGCACGCAATGGAGCACTACAAGGAGACAGGGTATCCCCTAGCAGTGAAGTTGGGAACCATCACTCCTGATGGAGCAGGTCAGCCACCTGGCAGGTTCTGGGATGAACAATCTTTTGTGCATGTGTATCTCTATTACAAAGTGCGTTTGTACTTCTAGTATAAATCTTTTCTGAGAGTGTGATATGGAAAGGAAACCTTGTGAGTCTGTGAATCTTAATTGGTATAGGGAGGACCGACACACTCTATTTGGAGAAAGCCCTTACCTTTTTTATCTGTTCTCCTCCTGTTTCATATTTAGTGTAAATAGGTTTTTTTGGTTTGTATAATAGTAGATATCTAACAGAAGAATGGTATTATTTTGAGACAGCAGAATCCAGAGAAACAGTGGTTTTCAGTTCTACATTTGCTAAGGCAAATGGTTCAATCTTATGTACATAGAAACAGTAACAGGGAAATTACTTTTAAGTCAGAAAAGCCTGTTCTTAACAGCATGTATGTTGGGGTTTTTTATACTGGAAACTGTGCTGGTTTTCCTTACTGTTTTGGTAACATTTGGTTCAGTCTAATGAGCACCCATCTTCATGGAGCTGCTGTGATGCACATTTGCAAAATGCCTCATGATCTTGAGAGGGGGAAAAAAGCTATAGAGGTATCTTTGCCACACTTGGAGAATATGCAAACATTCTGCATTGTTGCTGTGGAGGATTATGGTGTGTGGGGATTAAATGGAGTAAATGCATGAAGCTGAAAAAGTCATAAGCAAAGCAATCCTTTGCTGTAGCAGCATGGAGAAATAAAAATGGCAGAACACGTAGCATAATTACATTTTGGGTTTAATGCTTATGACCGTGTGGGTGAAAGACAGCTGTTTAGAGCAGCCCCTTTTTTAACACATCAGTTGATTTTTTTCATCTTTTCATCTTTTTTCCCATTTTTTCCTCCTATACAGTGTCAGGGAAAGGAGGCTGTAGTCAGATTCAACCAGTGCTGCCTAAGAAACACTTGAGCAAAATTCATTCTTTTCTCTCCCAGATGGAATATTGTTTCCTTGAATGAGTCTGGTCTTGGATGTTTTCCATCCAAATCTCTGAATTATTGAAGGTGTTTAGGGTTTGCCCAGTTGTAGATTTCAACTGCATCTACAAAATAAACAAAATACTCTTTAATGGGTTGTGTGTTTGGGATAACAACGGACAGGCTGTCTTCCTTCCCTCTGAAAGAGGGGTACCCGCTGTTCTCCACAGACCTTTGCTCCTCTGGATGGTGTTTACTTGGTTTCCCTATAGAAAGGATGTCCTTCCCCCAACCCTTCTTGTTTCTTTTCCAGTAATTATTCTCTCTCTGATGTGTATTGCCGTGTTAATCATAACCTCTCAATAGGACTGGATGACAGATGAGGTTCAGGAAAGAGGGCTCCGTGGCTGATTGTGATGTGGAGTCTGTCTGGTTTCTGGTTCTCTGGGCTGGAGGTGAAGAAATGATGGTAAAGGAGTAATAAGCATTTAGTCTCTCTGCTGATATAACTTACTCCTTTTTCACAACAGTAAGAGGAGAAAGACGTGGTGCCAGTATTCCACTTACACTTTTCCTGTGTGTGAACAGAGGGAGCAGAGGAGAGCTGCTCATGTAGGAAATGTATCCTGTATATGTTATGAAAGATTTCTGGAGCATTAGCCTTTTGTAGCATTCTGACAACAGTTACATCTGAGATCAGCGGAGAAATTGAACCAAACTTCTGTCTTCTGCCCTTGGACCTTGGACAGGATGCCCAAGAGTGTCAGAAATGTTGCTTACTTCAATAGGTTGAGTAACTACTCCACAGACTATGCGACGTGCTGCCTCTCTTGACAATGCCATTAGATTTCACTTCAAGACATTCTGAGGCTGCGTGTTTGAAACTGACTTGAGGAATGGAATGGGGATTTGACATGGGAAGCCATGTCTGACAGATACTTGAATGAGTTGCTTTGTGGATGCCAGTCTTGGCAATTGTCAGATACTTCTTTGGGGATCCCGAGCAATTTTTTTCTCCAGGGACAGTGTTGCCATTGCCTGTTATCCTTTAAGTAGGAAGGAGTGATGTCTACACAGCCAGAACAGGTGTAAATCTTGAGCTGTGGAGGAAAAGGAAGTACAGGTAGCATTGTAAATTTTTCTTATATTTATATGAATAATAATGATTTTTTTTATCTTTAATAACAGTTATCTGTCTCAGATTTTCCTTTTTATTTTGTTTTGGGTTTTTGTTTGTTTGTTTGTTTGTTTTTGGTTTTTCTTTCTTTTTGTGCCACTCCCTTCCTTTTTCCTCCTTTCTCACTCTAAGGATACCAGCTTTTGTGTGTCACATTTACCAACTTGTCTACATTCCTTGTCTACATTTGTCCACATAACAATATTACAGACCTGTGTTTGTGGGATCTCATCCTCTTTTTATGATTTGTTGCTCTTTGATTTTTATTTTATTTCTATTTTTTTAAAGTGAATTATATCTCACATGAATTTAAGTTGAAAAGTACTAAAGCAGAAAGTACTAAAGTATATGAAGCAAGCTGGGCTTGAGCAGAAGATTGCGTTTTTTTTGTTCCATTTTTGCTGCTCTGGGTCAGTAGTCCCAGATGGCTGCTTTCTCTTCAGCTGCCAGAGCAGAGGAAAAACAAAATCAAACCTTCCACATTGAAAATATTCACCGAAAATCAACTGATGTGTAATCTCGCTCCATTTAAGTTTGAACTTTTCATGATCTGTTGATTGCACTGTGACCTCACCACAAGACTATGAGAATGTTGTGATGTCTTGTATGTGGATGAACAGTTGTATCTTCTGGGTATGGTTGCTACCACACAGTGGTATTCCAGCAGATGGGCAGCTACAGCCACAGGCATGCCAGAGAGGTCATCAGGATCAGTAATAGAGAGTCTGATGGCTATTCAGCAGCTGGCAGCGCAACTGAAAAGTTCAATTCCTTGGTTTGAGAGTGTTTGTTTTTCATAGGGCTGATAAATTTAAAAGTTGCATTAGGTCTTTGAGTTCTTGGCTGACCTTCTGCTTATAATTTTAGTGTGAGTTTGGTACTAGCAGCCTTCAAGGAAGCTGCCTTTTTGTTAGAAGTCTTACGTAGGGGATGGGCTGCATCAGAGCCAGGGTCTATAGTTGCAAGGAGAGGGCAGGGTAAGGACATTTTAGAAATTATTTTATGCTGCAGACAGCTGTTATGTGGGTTCCTGCTCTTTTCTGGGTTTCTCTCTCTTCTGGCTAAGTTTTCTCTATTAGCCTCCATCTGGTCATATGGGGGAAGGTCACTGTGAGAAAATGCTAGACATGAAGATGTGGCTGAGAAGCACAGGCAGACTGGCAGACAGATTTTGGATTTTGGTGTGAGTGGGGACCGAAGCAGGGAAGTAGTCTTTCACTGCAGAGGAAGAGGCCAATCCCGTGGTGTCCAATCCAATAAACACCTCTATTTCTAATACAGAATTTCTCAGTTCTCTCTGCATCTTTGTGAGAAAAGGGCATAGATGGATTCCTTGAATTGTACTAGATATTAAAATACCATTGGCAGTAGTCAGTTGGGCCTGCATACTCATAGTTTTGATGTGTCTGCCTGTATTTAATAGCTCCACAAAAAATCAGAATCTCTTGTTGTCATGTTCAAAATGTGGACTGGCCCCATATCTGAGAATTTTGCATACCCTCGTGTCCTATTTCTTGTTTTCCCTACAAATTTCTCATTTTTTGGGAGGGAAATTCTATAATCACTATAAATGTTCTTAGGCTTTAATACTGTGAGTCGTGATTTCTTTTGAGGAGAGCAGTTGAGGTGATTGTGTTGAGAACATTGAAGATACTTACTGAGCTATATGGATGTCTATGCATTTTTCTGCATTTTTCATAACCAGATCTGGTGAATATGAGTGAGGCATGTTGTATAGGCAGTCCTGTACTGAGAATGAAATGTTGGTAAACAAAGAGAAGGAATAACATTTGATACTCATTGGTTTCTCTCTGTTTTCATAGATGTCTATTCCTTTGATGAAGAGGAGCCGGTTTTAGACCCACATATAGCAAAACATTTGGCACACTTTGGAATTGATATGCTGCAGATGCAAGTGGTAGGAAATCTGTCTTTTATTTAGTTTGCTGTTTACTTGTCTTAGCTGGGGGTGGGAGAGAAACAGGAAAATGATACCGGTAGTTTATATTTGTGTGATCCTTCAGACTGTTCTGATAGTATTTAATTCTGTAAAGCCAGACACTTCATGTTTTATTTTCTGAGGTCTGAGTGAATCATTACTCTTATTCAGTGGTCTTTCCAGAAAACCTATTCTGCTCAGCAACACTGAAAACTTAGTCTTGGCTATTGTAAAGGTTTCATCTCTGTTCTTCAGACCAGTCTGAAATTCCTAGTGAAGTGATGGAGTAGTGCCAGCAGTAAATGACAATATAGCGATCCATACCTACAAGCTGTGAACAGTTGATGTATCTGAATGCTGAGCTGTAAAGGGGAGAAACTTCAGTGTCATAAATTCTGGCTTTTCCCATTTGAAAGAAGGGAATAATTCTTGGATCTGAAGCTTTTTGTATGGTTTGTTTGCTGGGACCATCTTCTACAGCAGTTATTCCTGTTCATTAAAAGTGGAATATGAAACCTGAAATAATGTAGTGTTTTGATGAGGTCAGAGCCCTGGGAGAAGTGAAGCTCCCAGCTGGGTTTGAGGTCACAACTAGGAACCCTCAAAGAGCCAGTAGTCTGTGGTAAAGAGCTAAGATGTATATTAGCAGAACAAGCTGCTAGTTCTGACCCTGATTTCCTCCTCTATGTGCAGGATTTACCTCTCTTTGCCTCTTGGCTCTGCACTTCTTTTCTGGAGTATAGATCTCAAAGTTGGTGATGATGGCAGCAGCATGATTCTTGCAGTAAGTTAAACAGATGAGAAAAAAAATCATCTTCTTCCTTTCAGACAGAGAATGGGCTAAGAGATAATGATATAAAACCAAGAGTCTCTGAATGGGAAGTGATTCAAGAAGCTGGTGTGAAACTCAAGCCCATGTATGGTCCAGGATACACTGGCATGAAGAACCTGGGAAATAGCTGTTACCTCAATGCTGTCATGCAAGCCGTTTTCAGCATCCCAGAGTTCCAGCGAGCGTAAGTAGCTTCGAACTAGTTCTTGTCACCAGCTGCTGCATTCCTCAATCTCTTTTTCTAAGAAAAAGGTATTTTAATTTTTGTGTCACTTGCAAACAGATCTCTTTCAGTCAGTTCAGTGACTTCTTAGAGGATTTAGTGATTGTATTCTATTCTGGAAATGGTTGGAACACAAAACCCAATCTTCCTTTGAAATCAGAACTTCTTAACTTAGCTTTAGTGGTGGGAAGTAATATGCCACCTTGTAAGTTTGATTGCTCTCTCAGAAAACCACAGGCTGTCCCTGTTTTTCATGTATGTATGTGTAGATCTCTATCTCAATATCATCAGTAACACATTAAGGTTTTTTATAGTGGCCCATGCCTCTAAAGGTGCAAGAATCATTCTATTCCTCCAGTGTCATTTGTGCAAAAAAATGTACTGGCACAAACATGCTAATATTGATCCATGCTAATGTAAAGCAGTGCACCTTTTGTGTGCAGGTCTGGCTAAAAAGAGGGAAACTATCAGAGGCATTTTAAAATTAATGTTCTTATTAAAAAAATTAAAATCTCATTTCATGAAAAGGGTATGGTGAGCATATTCTTCCACTAAATAATTAAAAGAGTAAAAGGACAAAAGCACAACAGAGGAATATGAAATATTCATGACTGTTCAAAGCTGATCACATCACTCCAAGGAGGGGCAGCCCTTTTATAAGGGACCATCTATGGTTTGCAATAGAATTCAGAATGCTCTTTCATTCCACAGTAGTAGTAGAGTGTGTGCTGGAGTAAAGCTTTTAGATTTTGGAAAGCCTCCCATATTTTCATGTAGCAATTGCCTTCTGGAGAAGAAGAGGGAGAAGATGTGTAGTTGTTTGTTTTTTTTTTTTTTTTTTAGCCATATGGAGTACAGTCTGTAGATTATAGTTTTTCTACCTCCATTTTCAAGACATATTAAAATGGACTGTAAAGGGAGATTGTTTTCCCACAGCATGGTCCTTGGAGTTACCTGGAGTACTTATTATCAACCAAGTAGTGAAGATCTTTGATGAAAGAGGGACTAGGCAGAAGTGAGATGTGTTCTTTCAACATGGCTGTACCTACCTACCCGTTTTTTTCTTGTGCTCAAGGGAAGCAGTGCTAAGGTAGCATAGTACTGAATGGCTCACTGTCCAACAAACTGGCTATAATAATGTATACCTCAGCATTTACTGTCAGGAGTTAGCTTTTGTTTCTCTGAAAAAACTTCATAGAAACATTATTTTTATGTGTTTTCTTCCTGATACAAATTTGGAATTTATTTGCTGATGTTGATTAAGAATAAAAAGTACATTGGTTCTCAACCCAGCTCTGTTTTGACATCAAAACATAACACCATCCTGAAGCTATTTCAGGATCACAGAATAGAGTTTAAATTCCAGATGACCACCACCACCATATCTTTTATAGCTAGAAACATCTAAGCAAAACTTGAATGTCCATTTCCTAATTTCTTTATTACTATTTTTCCATGACAGAAGCACTCACAAAGGATAGGTTAAATCACTGCTATGATGCAAAAGTTGACATGTTAGCACAGAGGAGGCCTGCTAATGTATCACACTGAGGATCTGCTAGGATATTCTTCAGTAAATCTAACTGCACTATTTAAATGTTTCTGCTTTGTTCTTGCTGCCCAGGTATGTAGGAAACCTTCCACGAATATTTGACTACTCCCCTCTTGATCCAACGCAAGATTTTAGCACTCAGATGTAAGTGACACTTCTCAGTGGTTTACTTGGTCAAGTTAAATAGAATCTAAACAATTTAATGACAGAGCAAAAAAACACCTCTGTGTGGGCTTGAAAGTGAGATATGGCACAAGGTAGAATGCGAAGATTTACCCACTTAGTTGCAGGTGATGATCTTTCAGCAGGGGGTCAAAGACAGTAAACTTTTTCTGCTTGGAATAAAATTTCTCTTTTTTGTTTTTTTTTTTCACGTTTGTTTCTACCCCATCACTCTTTTCTCTACAGGGCTAAACTGGGACATGGCCTCCTTTCAGGCCAGTACTCTAAGCCACCCATGAAATCTGAGCTTATTGAGCAGGTGATGAAAGAAGAATACAAGGTATTTTCCTGAGTTTGTACAGCCTAGTAACTAGGCAAAAGTGATATCCTGAGAAAAGGGAACAGGTGCTGGGCAGTGAAGAGCATGTGTGTATCCATCATGGGATGCTTAGCAAGGTGGAATGTGCAGGATTTCAGTCAGGAATATATTAGTCAGGGGCTATTTGTGCAAAGCATCAAAGTAACCACTGGTTCTGCTAATAAAGTATGCTGCTGCTCCAGTGATGAGTGCAAAAGTTCATAAAACTTCCAACTTATGTTTATCTTCCTTGAGGAACAAAATACAGAAATTATCTAGAGAATACTGTGTATTTGGAAGCAAATTTCTAAACCCTCTTTAATTTCAGAAAGAATTATAAAGAGCTAAAGAGTTGTTTCCAGGAAGTGTCTGACAGAATTCCACCTGATTACAGGAGAAGCTGTCTGAGTAATGCAAGATTAAGTGGTGCTGGAAGCCTTCATGTAGATGGAGGGACCATGCAGTGTCTTGTCTGCTGGGGCTTTACTCAGGTTATTTCATGGTACAAAGATCACTCAGAAGCATGTCTGTACCAATGTGATCTATACTGAGAACAGCAGTGCATGTGGGTTTTGATATAAACTGAAATCCTAATTGCCAGACAACCAAGGGAGAGGAATGTATGTATCCTGATTTATAATAATTCACAATAGAAAAAAAAATTGGAATCAGCTTTTCTCAGAATAGGCAATTTCAGAACAAATAAATACTGAGGGGCAAGAACATCCTAGATGCGAAAGAGAGGAACTGGAGGATGAAATAACCTTTTCTTTCATGTTTACATAATACAGAATTTTATTTTTCTGTCATTGTGTTACCAGTGGGAGATTGTCCTTTTATTTTTATTGTAATTTGCAATAATTTTTGCAGCAAAGCAGATACTTAGCTCACTATATCTAGCTAGTGTCTAGCTTTGAGAACTCCATTATTGTTCTGTAATCTTCATATTGCCTTTGTGGTGGTCTGTCAGCAACAAGAAAGTTGCTTGTTTCTCTTAGGCTTCAAAAATCATTAAGGCATGTCTTGGCATTGTAATATCCATGGACCCATATCTTCATCCTTTTGTGCTTTTCTCCTTCTCTAGCAATGAATAAATTCACTCGTAGTCATCAGAAAGCCACTTCATATTCTTTGTCCAACAGCCTTTTGGTTTCAGCAGTAAGGATGGTCTTTGGTGAAGGTCTTATTGATCTCTCTGTATTAACAAGGTTAATGGGCATTGCCTGATTCACTGGATTATTTTTTTACTTGTTCTTGCTTGATGTTGTGAAGTAATCACAGGAGCTTAGTGTTGAGATGGAAGAACTCTTATCTTTTTGTCAGTTGGTTTAAGCTTACATCACCCTTTGGAGAGTGAGATCAGTTCAGGTTTTGCTGTTCTGCTTAAACTCTGCTGCTTTTGAAATTGCCTTTGTTTTCCCTGAAATTCAACTAACAGTTGTCTTAAGCAAAATACTACTTATTGGGACTATGTTATCTATCCAAGCAAACATGTTGGTTTGGGTTTGTTTTATTACTCAACCCATCTACTGTGAAGCATCTGGTTTAGAGTGATACTGGGAACACTGGACTTAGAATGTTTGTATCCCTACAAGCCTCCTGTTATTGTGACCCCAAGCAGCATATGGAGTCAACCTACAGACTCCATTGATGGGAAATAAAAGGTCAACTAATAACCAGTACTGAAAATGCTACTTGTAGAAAGAGCTGTCTTTATGGAGAAAGAATCTCTGATGCCAAGTTGTTTCCTACACAGTAGAAATCATGCACATTTTTGTCACAGAAGCTTGGTGTCAGTTCCCGTGGTAATAGATATTTTCCTCTACCAGTTGCTGATACAGGAATTCCTCCTGAAATCAGAATCCCAAGGAGATTTTGAACAAAGATAGAGCATCTAGTACAGAGTAGTTTACATGATCTGAAATCCTGAGTAGTTGCTTTGTATAGTAGCTATTCAGGGTTTTGAAGCAATGAATGAATCTTGTTTGTTTTCTTTAAATGGTTTAAAACTTAATGCATCACTGCAACTAAGGAATAGTGGAGTAGATTTCAACAGACTTACCTGCTTTCTTAAAAGCACACAAGATATGAATGAAGAATAATGTGCTGAAGTTCAGGGATTTGAACCCTTTGAATAAAGTGTCACTTTCATGTTTAGCCCAGCAGCCACTACTAGCAATGAGGTACTGAGATTTTTTTGATTACAGATGGTATCAAACTCTGTCAGGAAGTAGTAGCCATCTGCTGGCATTTCACAATACTTGTGTTGTTCATAAGTTCAGTTTAATAAAGTAGGAGTTACATGTAGCATCAGATGATTTCCTTAACTAATTCATAGCATGTATTAGGATTTGAAACAGCTTTTACTGATTTTATTCTTTGTTGTATTGAAGACTTATTTTAAAAGAAAAATCAAGTGTAAATATTTTCTCCATTCCCTCGCTCTGGGCATAGAAATCTATGTTTTTGTCAATCTGGTGTGCTTTTTTGTTTGGTGTGTTTCCCCTTCCCCCAGTGATACTGGTATGTGTACAGCTAGTATTTTCTCATCCAGAGAGTTGTACTGACATTTATAATAAATATAATTGAATAGGATTTTAGGCCTTCAGTGGTTTCAAGTGCTTCTGCTTTCTGTCTATAAAATTACTCATTAATTTTATTTTCATTTTTTCACTTTTTTTTCTCACCTCTCCTACATCCAAAGTTCTCTAGTTTTCTGGGTCTTTGGAGTTCATCCAGAGTTTTGGGGAGTTGTTGCCTGTAAAAGCATTCATAGGAGATCTGCAGTGGTCCAGCACTATTTAGCTGATCTGTTCTGTGACTGTTGATGGGGAAAGTATGCTAGGTATTCTATAAATATTTGTGGTGCTGTGCAGCTAAGATTTTTAACTGGGGGAATTTAGTCTGGAGATGGTAGGAGTTTTCTTGTACCCACCTTAACATTAAAAACAAGCTGAAACCCTGAAGGGTTGTCAGCTAGGACTTGAATTAGAGCTTTGCCGTTTCTTTTGTTATTTTACTTGTCCTTGAAACAGAACGGGCTCAGAGGGCAGGGCCCAGTCCTCTTCTAAAGACTGTCATGCTCGACATGTTTCTCTTCTCCCTGCTCAAATGGCTGAGTAAAAGGTGTATAGGTGGAAACAGGCCTTAATTCCAAACTTCCTCCATTATACATCAGGGCAAATGTGCCCCATGGCATATTTTTGCTTCTGATGTACAAGGAAGCCTGGTATATGGTAATTTGAGCTGGTTTATGCATTCTTCTCTCTACTCCCAGCTTTGATGAAAGGCAGATGAGGACTCTGAAGTGATATATATATATATATATACATATATATATACGTATATATCTCAAGATTCAGAAATCCCTAGAATATCTCTTTGTTCAAGCAATACTAATACTGTCTCTCTATGAGAGCCTTTAAAGACATCTGAGCCTAATGTGGTTACTGGTGTACTGCCAGAAATTGAAAAAGCATTAAAATTGAGAACCTACTTTTGAATTCAGTGGATCTAGGAATACCTGGTGAAACCAAGAGTAAAATTTTGCTCTTCTAGTATGTGTTTTATGTGCCTCCCATTTTATGCTGCTTTTTCTGTTTTTATATTGCTGTGGTAGCACAACTGTAGTAAAGAATGAGGTTGGCCAAGTTTTTAACAGCCTCTAATATCCTAATGGCTGGACTTCTGGTTGGTTTATCTTGAAAATGATTTGGTGTCATGGAGGATGAGGGCAAATTTGAGTAAGAGATTCTGACCCTTTCAACCGTGTTATTTAAAAGGCTTAATAGCTAGTTATGTCTTTAGGATGCCATTTGGGATGGTTAGAAAGCTTCTTGAAATAGTATAGAGGGTGAGAAAGTAAAAACTAGGACTTCCTTGGAAACTAAAGATTTTCAAGTTTAGGGTAGTTTCCTACTGAAAACTAAAGCAGTATGTTATGGTCCTTCAACATGGCCAACACTTGCAGATTCTTATCTCTTCTTAACAGCCCATCTGGGAAGGCATGATGCACACATTAGTTGTTCCCTGCTTGATTCTGTAGAGATCTCTGGAAAGGTTATGTCCTGAGTAAAGCTGCTAGCTGACATAGCAAAGTGCTTCATGCCCACATATATTTAGGTGGAACAGGGTTCTGAAAAAAGTCAGGTTTTAGAAAACAGTGTAAGACTTTAGCCTTCTGGAAACTACTAACCTTTAGGAAACCTTCAGTAATCTCTTTTAACTTTCAAATGCCATAGAAAAATCAGATAGAGTGAATGCTGTAGGAACTATGTCATGATACGTACTCTAAACCCCCCAGATCATGTTTATTAAAATGGAAAACCCAATGAAACCAAAACTATCATTTCTCCAGTGGCAGAAATGCGTCCTCAATAGAGCTAGTTGAGTAACTTTGGGATATTTGGTCCAGGAATTAAGAATGTTTTAAAAGGTTTCTCTTTCTTCTGTTTAGGCTCAGCGCAATGGAATAGCTCCTCAGATGTTTAAGGCTTTTATAAGTAAAGGCCACCCAGAATTTTCCTCTAATAGACAACAAGATGCACTGGAATTTTTCCTACATCTTATAAATCTAGTAGAGGTGAGAAAATCTGAATTATTTGTTTTCCCTGTTTATATTAGACAATGAGGACAGAGCTGAGTGGCTCAGGTTTTTTGTTGTACTTTTTTTAGTCTTGGCTACCTAGAAAATGGCACTGATTGAAAAGTATTTTGATTTATAAACACTTGTTTCTTTAATGCTTCCTTCTCTTTACTTCAGACCCTTCTCTGTGTGACCACACGCAGGGCCAATGCTACTGATAACAACAGCTAGAGATATAGAAAGGTCAAGCATTACTGTACAGGTTATAAGATTTATAAACATACATGACTATCCTTTTAAATTGCTGTTCATTTTATGATTACATGCTATCCATTTGTTTACTATATTGAAGTCTGTCTTGGAATATTAATGAATTGGCTATTATTATTATTATTCCAAATTTATATCATAGTTGGGAGTGAACTAATTACCATGTCCAGTTCTCTTACAAGTCCCAGCTGTACATCAGTGAATCATTATGGGAGGAAGGACACCTCCCACAGTAAAGTGACTCTTTGTCAGTTGAATATTTCTGTATAAAATTACAGTATAAAATCTGTTAGTTCCACTGAGCTCCAGCTCAATGCTGTGTATAGAATAGTCAGTACTGTGCATGTTAATGATGCCTTTCTGAAAAGCAAATTTACAAGTATATGTGGTTTTGATTTAAAGCACTTTTCTTGCCCATTCTTCCACCCTCTTCTTCCCTTTTCCCCCAAGAATTGAGGGTATTTATTCACGTTTTACAGTCTAGATGAAGTTATTCCCATTTGCATGCATTGTGTTCCATATCCCAAAATACATGTACTGATTATAGGATGGTTAGAAGACATTTTCTGGCTTTCGCCTGATAAGACATTCACTTGAACAATAAAGAGGAGGTATATTATTTGTATGACATTCCCATCTGGATAATGAACAAGTTGCTTGTTCTGTTTCAGTGCAGATTGAGAGTGGTAGGAGAAGTTCTGTTTGCTGAAAGGATGCTCCATGTTATTTACCTGAGCTTTCTATCTTCTATTGTAACCTGCCACCTTCGTATCTTCCTTTGTTCACCTTGACTCATTCAGATTTATTAGGGACACACTCTGAAAGTTACTATGTGTAGAGAGATACCGCTGTGTATTGCGGACTTCAATGGGATTCTTTGTGGATGTAAGAGTTCTACATGCAGTAAAATGCATGTAGAATCACGGCAGCATGAGCTGCCAGATCCGGTGTGAGATTGTTGTCTTTGGGCTTGCCATAGAACAATCAGGAGCCTTTGGCTTCTCTGGTCATTTTAATGATTGTCACTTAAATGATCTGATTTTTCCTTTCAGAGGAACCCTGTAGGATCAGAAAACCCTAGTGATGTTTTCAGGTTTCTGGTGGAAGAACGCACACAATGCTGCCAGTCTAGAAAGGTTCGCTACACAGAGAGGGTGGACTATATCATGCAGTTACCTGTTGCCATGGAGGCAGCAACAAACAAAGGTAAGGAAAGAAACTAGTTTATTGACTGACCTTCTGGTGACTCTCAGTCATGAGGGAATGAAGTTCTCACCCCTGTATGATCTCTTTCCACAGACAGAATGGTTCAAGGCCATGTGGCAAATTACACCAATGAACTGATCAGGGAAAGTTACTTGATTTTTTTTTTTCTTTTTTTTTTTAAAGAAGATTTTATCCACACATCAGTTTGTGGCTATACAGTTCCTGCTTATATTTTTAGGGAAGAAGGATTCTACCTAGATGCTGCTGGCAAGTTTTCAGACAGATTTCTCCTCAAACTGTGGGACCACCATTAAGTGTCACCACTCAGCAATGGTAGCAGTTATTTGATAAAGATGTCAGTGATTTATGCTTTAAAACCTTAACCTGGATTTGACTCAGGGATGTGCACTTGTAGTACAATTTATTTACCCTTGTGTTTTTTACATATGTGTGCCCAAAGATCGTCACTAGGATTGGATATCTTTTGTTCTGGACAGTGAAATAGTATATAAAAACGTATTAATTCTAAAAAAAAGGAATCAAATATACTAGGTAATAAATATTTTGTAAAAACAAGCCTGTACTCACAAAACCCAACCAACAAAAAAAACAACCCCACACCAAAAACCAACTACCCGCCCCCAGCCCAAAAAAGAAAAAACACCACCAAACCCAACACAAAACTCCCACCACACTGGCTTTGTATTCATTAGCAGCAGATGATAAGGCCTAACATGATGATAGAGAATAGGGTTATAAGACAGTTTGTTGTCTATTATGCCAAAATACACAATTTGGATATCTAGAGCTTTAGGAGAGGTGGGAAGGAGGATGAAGTGGCGGACATTAATTTAATATACAGGGGTGTTTTTTCATGTCTGTGAGCTGCCTGAAAATGCATACTTGTTTTTAAAGGAGAAAATGGCTGAGGAGGCTAGAGGACTTGGAAGCAGGAGAGAGGTATTGACACATCTTGGTTGCCCTGCAGTCAGTGGTGAAGAGTGTTGTAGGTTAACAAAATAAACATATGCCTGAGGTGGAAGCGAAGGGACCATCACAGGTGCATGAGAAGGGGGATCTTCCTCTGGTTTCCTGCATGACCTCAAAATGAAAAAATATTTTAAAGCCCGAAGGAGCTATCCTGATTATTTGATCTGATCCTTTGAAATAGCACAAAACACAGTTCCACCTACTGCTTTTTACCTAGCCCACAGGTTTTTGAATGGGACAGTGTTTTAAAATGACCATTTTGACTTGAAAATCTAAGGTTTGTAGAACTTTACATTCTTTGTTCATCAGTTTCATGACGATTCTATGCTTATATAATGGCGTGTTATTTTCAGGCAATGGCTCAGGAGGTATATTAGATTTTGAATTTAACATGCAGTGCTGCTCAGCTTGTCAGTGTCAGGATTCTTTCTGTATTGTACATAATCCTGTCCCGTCTAGAAAGCCAGATGTCACCAACAGCAATAATTTTCCAAGTCCTATTGAGCTGATAAAGCAGGTAGTTGGTGTTCTCATTAACACAGGATTCTGGCTATCATGGCAAGATTTTAATTGCCTGTTGCCCAGTATTACTAGTTCTATGTTGTCACCATGAAGAGAAGCCTTCAAAAAACAGGTGTGGTTGTAAGCGCAGCTCCTGACCCCAATGCAGACAAAAAGATTTGATACCTAGTTAAAGCCATAACGTGTTTTATTGATAAGTGGGGTTTTGCATTTCTAGAACTTTCAAAAATAAGACTGGTGGGGGACATTATGACCATGAAAATGTTAATTTAGCTATTGGTATGATACGTATTTCTCAGATGAATTAATTGCCTATGAATTGAAGAGGCGAGAAGCAGAAGCTACGAGGAGACCTCTACCAGAGCTTGTCCGTGCCAAGATCCCATTTAGTGCATGTCTGCAGGCCTTTTCTGAACCAAACAATGTAGAGGACTTCTGGAGCAGTGCCCTTCAAGCAAAGTCTGCAGGAGTGAAGTAAGTGTGTGTCTGGCTGCCTATTAAAAATATGTATGGTAGTGCTGTGTGGTTATTTTGGTACCTGGACATGATACAGGGAGAAACAGACAAAGGCATAGCATGCTTTGGCATTATATTAGTGTTGGAATTCACAAATGTAATGTGTAGATCAAGCCTGATGGGAGTTGTAATGACCAATTGAGCAGGAAAGAAATTTTTCTCAGTTGTCAGACTTCAGGAAGTGATGTTTTCTGGTTGTTAAGAGCTTGAGCTTTAAATGTTTGTACCTTAATTGTCTACCCATGTTTTAAAATTGGATCCTACATATCAGGTAGCCATAGAGCTCTGTACTGTGTGGTAGCAGATACAGTCTGGATCTCTGTGCTTAGTCACTTAATGTCTCATTTCACTAAGGATGCTGAGGGGCATTGTATGACAACAAAACAGGGTGAAGCAAACAAAAGTGTTTTCTTCTGAGAAAGTTCTTTAGATAATTGGAAACTTTCGCGTTTGTGAAGTGATGAAAAATTTGGGTTTATTGTGTTGTCGTATTTTATATTATTTATTGTTTACATTTGGATTTCAATCCATCTCCTTTGTATTCTACAATGTTTGGTTGCATCTGTTAAGTTTGCTGTAACTTACATGGGACCATGATACAAGGTAGACATATTAAACAAGGAAACCCTATGTGTTTATAATGAGGTAGATAAAAGAACCAAAACCATCTTGGGCTTAAAAAAGCATTAAGAAGAAATAGTATGGCAGACAGAGATAAGTGGAATTTTCAGGGGCAGTATTTCTTGCTGAGAACTAGAGTTAGTCTCTCATCTGGCTTCATTTTTATGTCAGCAGCAAGGAGTGGTTGACAGTTGCACTCTGCAACTGGTTTGCTAAGTGACTAGGTAGTTTCTATTTTTAGATCACTTAGCATACCAGTCATTCATTGCTGTCTTAGGATATAGTTTCACTGACATTGTATTGAAAATTGGGAGACAAGTGCACTTGGTGAAAAAAAATGCAACAAATCTCAAGAGCTTTTGTATTAACTATGAACATATTGGAAGAACATTCTAGTCTTTAAGTATATCCAAGGTTAATTTGTAATTTAGCTGTTCTTCATCCTCTAGGTCTTTACAAATACTGAAAGATGAAGAATAATTTGCTATTTAAAATTATAAAGTTTCAAGCTGCAGATGAGAAAGTTACTAAAATTATAAGGTGGTACTCTGAAGAATTTAGAAAGTAGTTACTTATTGTATGGTAAGAAGACCTTATATTTAGGATGCATTTACTGTACTTGACCCATAGAGGAGAAGGATGGTGGTACATATAAAGTTACACTGTGTTCATGCTTAAACTTTTTCTTTTTTTTTAATTGGGTAAATATCAGGGATGCCCTTAAACTTGAGTCATCCTCAGGGGGCTGGAGCACCTCCTGTATGAAGATAGGCTGAGGAAGTTGGGGCTGTTCAGCCTGGAGAAGAGAAGGCTGCGTGGAGACCTCATAGCAGCCTTCCAGTATTTGAAGGGGGCCTGTTGAGATGCTAGGGAGGGACTCTTCATTAGGGACTGTAGTGATAGACAAGGGGTAATGGGTTAAAACTTAAACAGGGGAAGTTTAGATTGGGTATAAGGAGGAAATTCTTTCCTGTGAGGGTGGTGAGGCACTGGAATAGGTTGTCCAGGGAGGTTGTGAATGCTCCATCCTTGGCAGTGTTCAAGGCCAGGTTCGACGAGGCCTTGGGTGATATGGTTTAGTGTGAGGTGTCCCTGCCCATGGTAGGGGGGTTGGAACTAGATGATCTTAAGGTCCTTTCCAACCCTGACTATTCTATCATTTTATGATTCTATGATTACAGTACCTGAGGAAGAATATCATGTAGGATTTTTTATACAGCACTTCCATGTGAAAAACTACAAATGACAGCTTTTTCAGTCTTTGCTAAATGAAATGCCTTGTTACTAGAAAGGGAGTGAATAAAATGCAGATTGAATTGTTACTCTATTCTGTCCAAGACGTGTTTTAAGCCTGTGCCCTCATGTTCTAGTCGGTGTCATTCAGAAATTATTTCCTGACTTTCAGCTTCAAAACACCTTGAGTGAGCAAGTTTAATACTACTTTTAGTTGTTTTCTATAGTCTTCCTAGAAGCTGAATTGTCTGCAAGCTGCCATTGAGGATATTACCATACTTTTCCACTGCACTTGGAAACGTCTTCGTGAAGTTTATGTTTATAAAATCCATCACTTGATCTCACTCAGGGCTCAAGTTATTCATCTCAGTGTGCATGAAGTACTGAAATCTGTGCTGCTTGTGATTTTTGTTTCAATGAATTGTGTTGTGCTTCCCAGGACTTCTCGGTTTGCTTCATTTCCTGAATACTTAGTGGTGCAGATAAAGAAATTCACCTTTGGCCTTGACTGGATACCCAAAAAGCTTGGTATGTGCTTTTTAGATTTGCCTTTTTCTCATTCTGCCCAAAGTAATCTGCAAGATTACAAAGTACACACTTTGGTCTATAATGAGAACCTGGATTGAGTCTCGAGTTTATACTGTAAATATCCTAGTTGAATTTTCTTTCCCCCAAACTAATCCATCAGGTCTGTGGAGTTAAAATACAGTTTCATATAATCTGGCTTCCTAGATAAACTGTGCTTTAGTGTTCTGACTTTCTCAAATAACCGTTTTCAGGAAGGCAATCCTGGCTGTGTTTGTATTTTGAGTACCAGAGTCTGCCTCTCTGAAGGGGTAGGTTGCACCATGAGGTCATTTCACTGGATTCATAAACTTGGACTGTTTCTCTACTTTTGTAGATGTTTCTATAGACATGCCAGATTTCCTAGATATCAACCACCTTCGGGCCAGGGGTCTCCAGCCAGGAGAAGAGGAACTACCAGACATTGCTCCTCCCATTATCATTCCTGATGACCCAAAAGGTATTTACTGACTTTCTCTCTTCATATTCTCTCCTATAGTCCTCTTTGCCTCTAGCACATACTGATTCTCTTTAATCTTCATCTTTTGGAGCTAGGAACAATAAAGCAGCTCTTGTGCTTTTATAATTGAAGACTCTTACAAGACCCAACAGCTTTTTATTTTCCTCTCTACTAGACAAATCTCGATCCTTCCAGCTTTTCTGCTTGGATGTTTTCAGGATTTATGGTAGTTGCTGTTGTTCTGAACTCCCTCAGAATAATTCACATTCTTGTGAAACTGTTGTGCTCATAGACGGATGCTCTATTTTGTGAAATAGATTATTTCACTTGCTTTACCGACTATAGTCTCGTATACCCTGCTGTGTGATGATTGCCTCTTTTGCCATAGTGTAGTGCTGCTCAATGGAGCAGCTTGTGCTGCATTATGATCTCTTCATCTTTACTAGCAGAATTGTTTCATGTCTTCCATATGCATGGGTAATCATCCTTAGTTAAGGATGAAGTCCTTGTGCTCATCTTCATTGAATGTTCATTGATATGTAAGACTTAAAGGAATAGAGAAGTGTGTGAACACCTCTAGACTTATGAAAATCAGCTACATGCAGGGAACATCTTCTGACCATTCATCTACCTGCAGTGCATGTTCATCACTCCCTTTCAGTAAAGTCACTGTGCACTTCCCAGGGCCTGGTGCAAAGGACTTGAACTCAGACCAATAAGCTGAGTCTCATGACAGGTGTCGTAAGTGGGGTGGGGTGTTAATCCACTCATTTCTTGCATTTTCATAAGAGGTGTTACTAAACTGCTGTTATCTTCTGAGTACTTTTGTACTAACTTTTGTCTGAAACCTGGTAATAAAGTAGTCTGGGTGGGACTGTAGCTAAATCAATCTGTCAGTTCTTGTGTACAGTAAATGGTCCACCCTGACTGGAAGGAATTTAAAAATCTGTCAGTTACTATGATTATTTGCTGTAGGATTTTAGTGTTACGGTTCTGAGAAGATGGTTTTCTGTTTAGTCACATGGTTTACTTTAATAAATTGAAACACTTTGGTTCAAGGTGGAACAACAAACACGCTATGTCTGCAGAATAGATTCATTCACAGTAAAGTGATACTTTTAAAACACAAAGGTCTACAGTTTAAGAAAACCTCTTTACAGGGATAGATTAAGACTCAAAATGTTACTAATTTTTAAATTTCAAAATTTGTTAGGCTGCAGTAGACCCTAGCAGCTGTGCAGGCATGCATAGTCCACTTCTCTGGATGTATGTGGGCTGTACAGGCCATTAAAAAGGGCTTGGTCTCAAGGAGCTGATGTCAAACTGCTGACTAAAATATCTGTAGAACAGAAAGAGTGTGATTAACATGCTATGCTGCCTTTTTTTTTTTTTTTTAATACTGTTTCCTTCTCACTGAAATTCAGAAACAAGAATATTAGAATATCCCCCTTCCTCATTCCCTGGTTTTCTCTGGAGGATTAAATGGTTTCTAGCAAGTAAACTCTTGGTTTTATAGTGTGACCTTAGACCCAGGTTGCTGCAATTTCTTCCAGATGTCTTAAGCTTGGCTGCTTTGGTATTTAATAGGAAGCCAGTAATACAACTATTCCCATGACATGACTGCCCCATTTGCTTGGATATTTGTACTAGTGGTGGCTTGGATATTTGTACTAATATCAAGCTGCACATATGTGAAAGGAAGCTCGTACCTGAAATCGTGTGTCAGAGCAAAGGCTATGGAAAAATTGAGTTCTCAAATTTTTGATTTTGTCACTTATCTGTAGGATCCTTATAAAGGCTTACTCTTTTTTATCCTCTTGCTCAGTGGACTAACCTAAATTTAGTGTAAATGTATGGGTGATGTACCTGATTTTTAACAAAACAAATCCTTGCTTAAAATTGGTTTAGGTCAGCCATCAGCTATATTTCTTACCAGTTTATAATACCAGTGACACTTTGCTCTGAGGTTAGTTAGGGAAATTACTGGGCAGAAACATCCCTGGTTTAATTCATAGCAAAAATATCAGGGATGTGAGGATGAACATGCCTTGCCTGCGTGAGGCACAGAAACATATTTTTCTATGTTGATGTCATAGGAATGATGTCATAAATGACATGATAGAAAAATATGATGTGAGGCATAGAAAACATCAAATGTTTCTGTGACTTTAAAAATGTGGATTTGTTTTTCCCATATGAATCTACTTTGCTTTAATATTAAGTTTTTTCCTGTTTGTTTTTTTTTGTTGGTTTTTTTTTTCTTCCTTAATTTTCAGGTCGCATGATGAACAATGTCATGGAGTGTATGTATCTCATTTTTCTGAGACTGGTACTTAAGTGGCTTAAAAATATTTCATGCTTTTGCTCAGCTAATGGTTTCTCTGTCCTCGTAGAGATGCATGAAGTACTGCCCTGCATGCTTCTAAATAACAGCTGATTTTTGTACCTGTTCAGCATTTACTTCCATGTGTGCAGGATTCTTTAAGAGTCTGTAGCAACATCAGCATAGCCAGAATATGAGCTGCCCCTGTATCTGCTGCTCGTCAGGGGGATCTTGCAGTTCTCAGGGTCACAGCTGCCTGATCCTGTCTCCCTCTGGACTCTGATCTCAGCTGAAGCTGTCAAGCCCTGTCATTCAGAGATGAAGTTCAGCTGGAGACTGCTAGGTCCAGCAGCTGTTGTTTCTCTGACCTGCAAGATCCTGGCTTTAAGAAAGGTGATTGCTTTGGCTGCCATCTCATAGCTAAGCACAGCACCTAATTTCTTGACCCCTTGAAATCCACTGGTGAGTGCTTTTAGCAAATAAAGTCCTGTATGAATTTGTAAATGTTTAAGTATCTAATGTAGATTATGGTGACAAAAGATTACCCGTAAGTCCATAATAAATACTATTGAAAACGTCCGTAACAAATTATTTATACAAGGCTGTTTTCTAATGGGTGTGGGCTTATTGTAGTACTAAAACAAATCCAAGCAGTATGTGTTGTGATTTGTGTTGTAATATGTGGCACTATGAATAATGATAAGAAATACTATATAATGGATAAAATTAGACTTTTATATTTTAGAAGGTCCTTTCTTTTAGCTCTAGATATTGATGAGTGTTCAGTTATGCAACTGGCAGAGATGGGTTTTCCTTTGGAAGCATGTCGTAAAGCTGTGTACTATACAGGCAACCTGGGTGCTGAAGTTGCTTTCAACTGGATCATTGCACACATGGAAGAACCAGGTTAGTGACTGGAAGGTGTAAGTTAAACTCAACTCTTGATTGTACATATTGGCAGTCAGTAGAAATTTTATAATGGGTGACAGAGAAACAGTGGGCACCTTCCCCACCCCAGGAAATCTGGAGGTGTGAGTGGATTTTCTTAAAATGTTCCTGGGATATGCAGATCTTTACCATTGTGTGGCATCCTCTGCCTAGAAGATGGCAAACATAAGCTACACCAGAAGTACTCTCCTGTCCTCACTAATCATGTGGGCCAGCTCTCTTTTCTGCCCTTTGCTTAGGTCTGTGCTGCTAAGGGGGAAGCTGACTTGTGATCAAGTGTAAGTACAAAGAATCCTGTGGTCCAGATGCTTTTCTTCCATATCGGCCTCCTCTAGCTCAGGCTAGAGCATTCATGATGTACTTAGAACCTGGGCTATCTAATGGTGGACAGGGGTGCTAGATGTTCTCCACTTCCTGTATTTCACCCATGCAAAGTCTGGACTCATGATTCAGCGCTGAGTATATCTGAGCACTTCCTTGCCAGGAAACTCGATTTGGTTGAGTTCACACTTCACCATGGGCTTTTGTGTTGCTTATGTAAACAGGGAATGAGTTTCACTGGGGCTTAACTGATGTATTTTAGCTATGGAATCCATTGATTTTACAGCTATATGTATATCAGCTGGGTGTTGACTTTGGTGCCATCATTATTGCATCCATACTCTTCTGTGCTACTTTCCTGTAGTTTTTCACTTCTGTGATGTGCTAAGTTTTTACAGATGGCTCAGTATGAGTTTGTCCAGCTAGATATTTTGTAATGTGCATGTTTGTTTTGTTGTTTTCAAGGCTTTCCAGGCATCTAAATCCCAGGTGGTCCAGTGAAATAAACTTAAGTTGATTTTGGGCCTGCTTTTGAGGTCCTATTTGTTGCTTGTTGATTTTCCATTTCGGTGGGGCAAACTGATGAGTGTCTCTTTGTTTGTTCCAGACTTTGCTGAGCCATTGGTCATACCTGCATATGGAGAAGTTGCTTCCAATGGAGCAGCTGCATTTGGAACTGTTGGGCTAGATAACCAACCTCCTGAAGAGATGATTGCAATTATAATTTCCATGGGCTTCCAAAGGAATCTGGCAATTCAAGCGTTGAAGGCAACAGTGAGTTCAAGGAGATAGTTATTGGTAGCATTTGGGTTTCATTTCATGTTACGTGCTTTGTTACATACGCACACTCAGATGCCTTTGAAATGTGTATAAAAATCCAGTTAGTGGGTGATGCACTTTGTGAACTATTCTACCAAAGCATGGGGTGCCTGACTTGACTGGGTTAGAGTAAGGAAGGTGGTTTGTATTTCACATGAATGTTGAAGTGTGGAGGAGAGTGAGAAAAACTCAGCTTGTTTTACCATTGTTTGAGAAACAACCTGGATGCCTAAAGGCAGTGCATCTTCAAGATGAGAACCTGGGGGTCATGGGGATTAGTTGTGGGAGGATTTCTTTTCCATCTGTCAGGCTTCTGCAGAGTGACTGTTGAATACTGTTTTCATGAAGGTAGAGTATGTATCTTACAAATTGTACATGCTGTTGAACCTGCCTCTCTTCAAAGAACAATTAGCAGTAGCATGATGCTAGAGATTTTATTAAAGGCTGCTCTTTTGCTTGTTTAATTCACAGAACAATAATTTGGAGCATGGACTGGAATGGATCTTCAACCACCCTGAACTCGAGGAAGAAAGTGAGCCTGCTTTGGCCATAATGGATATAGACAACAATGCTAATGCCATTATTGCAGAGACAGGGTCAGAGGGACCCAGGGTCAAAGACGGGTCTGGAAGTAAGTTGTTCTTCAGTGTAGAACTGGTTATCATGTTGTTGTGTGAAACCTATGCCATTCATAGAGCTCCTTTCTGTTTTGAAAGTAGTTATTGTGGGTTTTTTGGATGCGATCCAGACAATTTACTTCAATCTTGCTTGTAGGTCTGAGTCCAGCTCTGTGGGGCTGCTAGATTCTGTGGGCTGCATTTGCTCAGAAAACTCCCTGGACTCACTGAATAACATGAGTCAAAGTTTCTTGTTGCCACAGGATATAAGTCTCTGTTGGCCTAGCTTTATTTTTTGTTTTATTGCTATAAGATAAAAAGACAAAGAAAAACTAGGTTGTTCAAATCCTCGGAAGCTCAGCACCCTAAAGATAATGTTGCTGTTACAGTTCACCTGAGTTTTTGTCCTCTTGTGGTCTGATGGGAGATTTGATAATTCCTTCAACAAAGTTCCTTAATCCAAATACAGCAGGTATAGTTGGTATCCTGCATGTACTGTTTAGCTATTTTCTTTTATTTTTGTTTGGTTTTTTGTTTTTCTTTGAGATTCTCAGTCATAGCACTACTGAATAAACCACAAGATGGGGCTAACGTATGGCAAAGTTGTGAAGTAGGTAAAGAGCCTCTTGTAAGTGTAAAAGCGTTAGAGTACCAAAGCTCAGTGGTGGTTCTAAAATAAGTGTATCACATGATGATTTTTGAAGTGTCTTGAGTGACCAGTTCAAGCAACAGAGCATGTTCTAAACTTGTACCTCTGGCCTTGACTGCAATGGTCTTACAAGGAAAAAAAAATAAAATTAACAGCCAATTTGATTTTTATTTCTGTGGTTGCTGTCCTTGTACAAGAATATTTATTTCGTTGGTCTTTATAACATTAAAAACAATCTTAAGTCTCTTGGAGACATTGGAAACATTGATTATCATAAGGTTAAAAAAAAGATATGGAATAATATTTTTTTGTGGTACTTAGCCTTTATAGACAGACCATTTACTGAGTGCCTGAAATCGTGATAACCAACATGATACTGTAAAATGGCTCCAGAAAGCCCTCTCCACCAAAATCCAGGCCCCTGTCCTTATGCAATATCCTGAAAGAAGGTACCCTTTTACTTTTGGTGGTAATTTGGGTGAATGGCATGAATGGGTGGGGAGAAAGAACCAATGTTGAGCTCTCCAGAGACATTAACCACAACATTTTTCTTCGCGTAAAAGGAAGAGGGGTCTGTGATCGCACTTACAGACATAGCTAATTTGTGTGCAGAGTGAATGCCGTACCTGGCACTTTCTGTGGTGCTCTCTGTGAACTGGGAATAAATCTGCTGTTTTCTTTCCTAGTAGGGGCTGTGATCACAGCCCTGCTGTATGTGCACAGATCAATGTGGGTTTGATTTGAATTGTTTTGATTTTTGACAGTGAATCTGGCTGCTAGTTAAAGCGAGAATATGCTGCAGTCTTAACAGGAACTGCGTTTGGGGACGCAGAATCTAAGTTAAGAGTGCTTAGCTGTTTCTCCAGTGTTAGAAAGCAAGCTTCCTCTCGAGTCAGATTGTAATTTTAGTAATAAAAGATTTATGGTCCCATTTGTATTTCTTAAATAGGATATGAGCTGTTTGGGTTCATCAGCCACATGGGAACATCCACAATGAGTGGCCACTATGTTTGTCATCTCAAAAAAGAAGGAAGGTGAGTGGAATTGGGAGAGACATGGAAGGATGAACAGATGTTTTATTTGAATCGTACATCTCTCCAGAGCAGGTGGCAGGCAAACATGAATGTTGTTACCAGGTGCACCTGTACATTTCCCACCAAAGAAATTGATATTGTCACAGATTGTAGATGTGATGAGTCAGTTCTGATACTGCCGAGGTCTGTGCTGAAACGTACCATCAACTGTACCGTACTTGCTGTTCCAAATCTGTTCGTTTTGGGGCGTCAGTTCTGTATCTGGCTTCATTTGTTTGAGCTTCCCCCAGCTTCCTTTCATTCCCCATCAGTAGAAACCCATCAAACTGTGGGCTGATATTAATACTGCTAGTACTGCAATACTGATCTTGGCTGTGAATTTTATATGCTGCTATTATTTGGCATTGAGAATCTCTGATTTTCCTTCACTTGAACTGCAGCTACACATTCCTCTGTATGTCCCTCATCGTTTCTAGTTCCTGACTATGCCAGTAATCCAGCTTTGTCTGTTTCTCTGATCTTTTGTTCTTATGGCAGTACCTAATTTTAGATTTTAAGCTCTTGAAGTCTGGGTCAGAGAAGCCCCTCATAAACTTGTGATGATTTTTATACACATGGAATGTAATCAATCTTGTTTTCCTTTCAGATGGGTGATCTACAATGACCTTAGAGTCTGTGCCTCAGAACGACCTCCCAAAGACCTGGGATACATTTATTTTTACCACAGGATACCAAGTTAGGCCTGCAATCTTTTACTCGGCCTTAAAAAGCCATAAGCCTTTTTAACCAGCCCAAAAACCCATACAATAAAAAAGAAAATCTAAACCCCACAGAAGACCCCTAGCCCTTGAACTGCCAAAAAGCAAAGGACATCATGGGATACTTGTAGTTTATTTAAAAAGTCATTTGATGCTGCCTTAAGTGTTGGAGGGCAAATTTCTGTTAGGTGATGTACATTGTTTTAATCTCATACATGTTAAAGGATACCTTAAGACCATGCAGATTACTGGTGGAGTTTGCAGCTAGTATATGGAGAAAACAGAAGTTTCAGGGTTGAACAAAAATAGCCCATCAGCTGGGGTTCAGCCCAGCTCCTGCCTGTTCTGACCATGCATCTGTTGAAGACCACAAAGAAATACTTGCACCTTTGGTAAGTGGGAACCAGTGTTTTCAACCAGAGTCAAGACCACTTAGATAAATCATGTTGCGTACAGAATTGGAGGGGGTATGTGAGTTTAATTCAGAATAGGATGTCTTCTTTAAGAGATTATTTTTGGTTTTGTGAGAAAATTGTAACAGATACAACTAGAGTTATATCTGTTGTAATTCAGCTTTATAGTATTTTGGTTTGCCTTTTTGATGCATAAACCTAAGAAATAAATGGAGATGGAAGCAATCTCCTGCCAGTGCCCTGCACATTTTCTTAGAAAGAGAAATGGTAGATTTTATTTTTGCAGACACAGGTTTCTTCATCTTCTCTTGGATGTTTCTTTTGCAAATTCTTCCAACAGATCCAGGATTACAGATGGCTAAAGGAAGCAGACTTTCTGACTATAAAATTAAATGCATACCTTAGGAAAGCCAAGGGTATTATTTAAATTTTATCTTCTTATGAAGGAGGTAAAGGAGGTGTTAATGTCCCATTATATTTATTCCGGGGAAATTTTCATCTTGACCACTCACATTCCATCTGAAACCAACTTGACAAAGCACTCACGGTGCAATTCTGCTTTCTGCCAAAGATTGCTTAAATACTTAGTTCCATCCATGAGTGGGGGAAATGGCTTAGTAAGATTGCTGATTTATTGATTTTCCCCTCTGTCCTTCCTCCCTTAGAAAAACCAAAACCATCAAAACTAAAACCAAGCAACAACAAAAAAACCCACCTTGAGGTGTTTCAGCTTTCTTAAAACCTGCAAACACACCAATAATCTGATCTCTTTAACAGACACATTCTGAAGGGGTTTTTATATTTTTGGCAGGTATAAAGGTAGGGGCTGGCTTTTCCTGCCTTTCTTGTGAGAGGGGGAGTAGTGGTGTTATTTCAGTTTGTGTCACAGGCGCAGGCAAGACTATGTATGTGGGCTTTTAAACTGTTTGAGAATACTAGTTCTAGAAAAAGTAAATGGTGAGTGTGAAACCTTTCACGATTCCAAAAAATCCTCAAATGTTCACTGTGTTGGCCACTGCTTAGAGACTGTTGCTGAAGTTGCTTAATATAATCTTACTATAAAATTCTCCCTACAGGATTCAAGAGAAGCAGGGATTGTGTAATTACGTTTTCTTTGCAGTTAGTGCCTGCAAGTTTAATAGCAAAATTCAGGCAGCTACACACTACAGAAGAGAATCTAAATTGAAAGTGATGTTATGAGTAGGGCATTTTATTTTTTCCAGTATAGTTTTCCCTTTAGTCATGTAGCCTAATGCAGAGCCAAAACCCACTGCTGGGTGGGGTTTTTTTGGTTTTTTTTTTTTTTTTTTATGATCTTAAAAAAAGATCATAAGAGATGAGAGAAATTCTAGTGCAATAATTCTGTAGAATCTAAATGGTGCCTAACTGCTGGGAAAGCTTCCTGCACTTTGTGCTCTTATTGACCCAGAAGAGTGACATCCTCACACGTTAATAAGTGGCTTCTCAGATTCAGCTGCCTTGTTGTTATTGAGCCACCAGTTCTGGACAAAAAAAACCACTGCCAGTATGTTTTTTTTGCTTCTTCCAGGTTTTAAATATTTGTGTATTTCACCAGAAAGTGACAGATTTGAAAACAAGATCAGCAATTTATTCAGTGATGCACCATCATTTAAAGTGAAATAATAAAACTTCCATGGATGTTTGTGCTCCTTCATTTTGGCAGTAGGAAAAGGACAAAAGGCTTCTACCCCTTTACTTCTATTTTTAATTTTATTAATTGTTTTTTTTTTTTCAATGCCCAGTTACATTCTGAGGAAGCTCAACAACCGCTTCCCTCTCACCTCATGAACTTAAAGGGCTGTTTTATAAACAAGATCTGGTGGCCACTACTTTTTTAGTTAGAAGCATTGGGTAAATGAAGGTCAACAGAGTAGTTCCTATGTTCATTGCTAAACTGGAAACATGGCTGGTCTCATGGGGTTAAGGATGGAGCTTGAACACTTGCAAACCATTTGTCTGGTACGTCCTGAAACTGGGGTGCTGTGGGACTGGTTAATGGGAGGCACACTTAGAAAGCTGGCACATGAAAAAGGGGAGAGCTGTTCGCTGGCTGTGATAGGTGAACGGTAGCAGCTAAGCTGAAATTCCTTGCAGTTCATCACTCTTGCATACTGCCTGCCTACCAGTGGGTCAGAAATGCAGGGAGCAGCTTAGAGGAAAGGCTTATGGATTGTCTAAAATACAACACTTGAAAAACAAGTTAGAACTTCTTCAGCTATTTAAGGAATTATTTTATTATCTCCCAGGATGGCTTCCCTCCTTTTTCAAATGGCCAAGAACATGTCATTTTTGTAATGGGTTGTGTGTGAGCATCAGGAATCTGGAGGAGCAGGGTATGAACTCCTGACTTTTTAGGCTAATGTGGGGAGAGGAGTTTTGTTTTGTTTTAAACTTCAACATGCAGAAGCCACACTGAGACTATACTGAATAGTTGACTGATTTATCTGGCTTTGCCTGCTAAAATTCGTATGCACTCAATGGTGTTGGGCCAGGCCTTGATGCACAACCTGGGCAGTGGCTGGTGGGGAAACTGTGTGTCTATGTACTAAAATAGGGGTCAGGTGTGCTGAGAGCTCCTTGACAAAAAGGATGGAGGAAAAAAAATCACTGTGAGCTGTTCGAGACAATCTAACATGAGAATTGTGGCAAGCCAGGACTTCACAGCAAATAATAATGTTTTTCTTTCTCAGACTGATTTTTACTTTTTCACATGATACATGTAGGTTAGGGTGGAAGGAGGAAGAATTCAACAACTTTTCCTTGCTTTGCTTCTCATTCCTAGCAGTGTGCTGGATCCAGTAGACCTCTCAGAGTCTCAATCTTCAGTCTCCAAAACATGTGCAGACTATAACTCCTATTTAGTCTGCCTAGCTAAATTACAGTTAAGATAAAAATATTCGAAGGTGTAATTTAAAAACAAGTCTAGATGTTTCTTGACTGCTATCACTTGTAATTGTAGTGGGTTCAGTGGCATTACTTCTGACTTTGGTTTAACAGAAACCAGCAACAGTTCTTTTATTTATTTATTTATTTATTTTCATTTGGGCAGCCTCGCCTGGATCGTAGCACACATTCTGAATACAGATGCAACCAGAGCTTGTTAGATTGTTTTAGAAGCATCTCCAATTCATTCCTTTTGTTCTCCATCCTGGCAGCAGCCATTTTTATCTTCTTCGTTTTCATGCATTGAAAGACTATGCAAAATGTGTAACTGGACATAACTTTTTGTTCTTTTTCCCATCACCCTTCCTACCTTAATGGCTGAGGTCAGTTTCTGATTTCTGTTCATTTTTGGTGGTTTTACTGTTGTATCCTGGAAGTGTCTGTACTGGTTTACTTTGCACCATTCAGAGTTGTTTGCTTGAAGCACTGTTAACATTTTGGAGAGTATTCGTCTGTGATGAGAATGGTTGTGAATGACATTGTTGCTAATGTTTTAAATTAAAAAATATTCTCACATCTTGTGACTGTGTGGATTCTTGCTTCTGTCTTTCCTGTCTGAAGAGGAATTTATTGAATATGTTTTAATGTTGCCTCTTTTTTTACTCTTTGTGGTCATGTTTGGTGTTTTGTTTAAAAAATCTGTATGGGGAACAAAGAGGTTTGTAACAGTCTTGATTTCTTGTATCACAGTATGTTAGAGATTGGAAGGGACCTCAAAAGATCATCTAGTCCAATCCCCCTGCTGGAGCAGGAACACCTACATAAGGTTACACAGGAACATGTCCAGGCGGGTTTTGAATGTCTCCAAAGAAGGAGATTCCACAACCCCCCTGGGCAGCCTGTTCCAGTGTTCCGTCACCCTCACGGAGAAGAAGTTTCTTCTCAGGTTTAAGTGGAACCTCTTGTGCTCCAATTTGTACCCATTGTGACTCATGGCACTTGTATGGATTGGAGGGGGTAGGGGGAATCCCACAAAAAACCCAAGCCCTGAGTGGATATAAAACCTGGCAAAACTAGAATTTAAGGTGAGATTTGGGTTTTTTTGCTTTTAACTTTTAAGCCGGCTGGTACTCTTTGAACACAAGAGTTGGCAGTGTTCATGTGGAAGGGTGTTGTCATTTCACTCCAAAATTCCTGCTTTATCTTGGTCTGTGATTCCTGATACTCATTTAGAAATTTCACCTGCTGCTCAGTAAAGGAGAAGCCTTTTTTTCCTGATGTTTAAGGGCTTTACATAGCAGTGTGACCATTGGGATTCTTTGGTAGATGCAAGAATTGGCCAAGAAGGAAGACTGCGAGATGGCAACCCTTTCGTCTTTAGGGATCATGGGATCCTGGAGGAGAGGTGAGAGGTAAACCTATTGGAATACAGGTGACATAGAGGACATGTGAAATGTTGAATGATGAGAAAGGTAAAGATGGTTGAGCTCCTGAAGGCCAAATTTAATGACCTGTTTTGGTTTCTTTTCTATCACGTGTGACCTTTGTGACCATGTCAAGTCATGCTGTGCTGTGTTCACACCGATTGTAGCAACTGGAAGATGTGTGAAAATGTGGCTTCTTATGCAAGCTAACAGTCTCTGCTCAGGTTTTGGGCAAGAATTTCCTGCACAGAATTTGTACCTGTTAACTTTTGCAGACTGCTTGTGGAAAGAAGTATTAGATAACCGGCAAGTTTAACACCACCCCTGGTTTCTGCTCCCCCTCACTGAAGTGGGAAGTAACACCTCTCTGTCCTGCAGGTGTGCTACAAGCATAACAAGAGAGGCACTGAAAACTGCCCTGAAAGATGAATGCTATAAAAATGTTGAAGACAGTGCGTGACTGACAGCTGGTGTGGGGCAGGTGATTCTATTTTCAGACTTCTTTACCAGAAACTTTCCCAGTGATTTTTTTGAGCAGTTTTGTATGTAGGATTTAGTACTAATGCTTTTCTCCCAGCCGCTGTCTTTGGCTCTGTTCCTGGTCTGTGTTTGCTAGAGAACATGTAACTAATGGGCATTACTGCTACTTGTCAGCACATGTGAGCAGCAAAAACTAAACCAACAAAATCTCGTGGCAAAACATGACAGTGTCAAGAGCACCTGTACTTGTATCCTGAGGGTCAGTGTGGTTTTAGTGTTGGTTCCCTTTTTTATTTTTCTGGAAAGTTCTGCTTAAAGCCATTAACTTTAACTTTCCTGACAGAACTTTATTTCTAGAGGCTAATCCTGGCTGTCTTTCATGGAGTTTTTGTTATTGTCTGTTTGCTTGTGGTTTGTTTGTTTGTTTTTCTGGAGCATCACACAGGTCCCTTGAGGGAGTCAGCCTTCAGATCCATGCCAGTGTTGTCCTGATTTGCCAACAGCCCTCTGCTGTAGCTGTCACAGCCCCCTTTCTGGTTGTCATCTTTTCTGTCCACAGTGGTGTACAGGAGTTTTGTGTCCTTCTCGCGTTTGTGCTTATGTTAGTATCCCATAGCAACAGTGTAAAGATGATGTAATTTTGACTCTGTAAGTTTCATCACATGAAAGCCAAAACTGAAAAAGAGCCAGCTCCTGCTGTGATTTATGGGAAGTTGCTTGAGTAACAATTTCAATCATTGAAAGTTTGTGAGGTTTTGTGCTTTTTTTCTGTTTTTCTTCATATGAAGTGTATGTGCAAAATCCTGTGGGCCGGACCTCAACTAGTATAAATCCCAATTGTAAGTATAATTATCAACATGTGGCAATAAAATAAATTAGAAA